TTTTGAAGCCCACCACGACATGAATTGCCAGGAAAATGATATATAGTGAATACCTAATGAGATTTTGCAAATGGCACATTTTGTATGCAAGGGCTGCAAAATTCCTTTGCCTCTTTTTGTTTCTTGAAGCATTTGGTTCATAATTAACATTTAAGTGTGTTCAAATCAAAATGCTTCAACCAACACGAAGGAAAGACGGGAGGCAATTGCCAGTTAATGATACAATTACAAACTGGTTTTGCCTTAATCAGCTCCTAAATGTCTTACACATTCTCAGAACATAGAGATCAATGCAAGACGCTTGGAATCTGAGAGGAAAAAATCAAATATCAAATGGGACAGAATGTTAGTGAATATAAACAATAGTTTGGGTATGAAACAAGACTAAACCACCAATTTCTACTTAGTGAGTGGTAGCAAACACCACCAGCAGTAAATTTTGGTGATGAAGCAGAAATTTTACAGCCGGGGAGAGTTTCCTGTATTAGCAGATGGAATTTTCACCCTTCTGTACACTCTGGAGAGGAATTCACTCACTGGACTTGGCCCCAGGTAAATACAACCAAGTTTAAACAGTGTTAAAACCAGCTGACATTTACACAGGTATCTGAGAGAGTTTCAAACTCTCACCATTAGCTACTTGTCAGCTCTGAGTTTCACCTCAGAGTGAGCTGACTTTGCACGGATTGAAACCCATGAAGAGAACTCCTCTGGAAGTTTCTGAACTGAATTCCTTTGCTTCTTACTGTGCTATTGTACAGCAGATTATTTACAGTCAATGTCTCTCTTCTACTCTGAGCTAAGTTTGGAAAGAATAACAAAGCAAACTCATAATGAAGATTAAGCAAAGAGGAAGAATAGTGGGGGAAAAATTACTATTACATTTGCATAAGTGTAAAAAAATCTCAATTGTTCAACGCCCACTAATGTGCTTTCCTAAAGGGTGCACTCCCAGTTTGGGGGAAGACAGGGAATGTTTAGAGCCAGGCTGAGGACAGGAAGGTGAACGGCTGGAGTTTGCTAAATGCTGCAAAATTCCATGTGTCCAACATTTGCAGCAAAGATGAGCTCACAAAGCAGAGAGAATGGAAATATCCAGACACTATCAACAAGACCAAACCGGGATTTTCAGGAAAGCTTGGCAAAGTAAGGCTTTAAGTGAACTCCTTCATGCTTGGAACTGCTCAGAAAGGAGAAATTAGGAAGAAGATTTGCTGTATTTTGAAGGCTTTCTGCATTTTGCTGCTTTAGTTCTTTTACTGAATGATCATTTTAAGTCATTAACCAGGCAGGGAAAGACATCCCAAACTAACATACTTTAAAAAAATAAATGAACTGAAGTGGTTTGAAAAAGAGGTGGAGCAAGACAAGGAAAGAAGAGCGAGAACTGAGCATTGGCAGGGACGCAGCCATCTCTTACACAAAGGAACACTTACACTTTCCAAGTGCAGATTTTAACAGGCAAGGAGAGAGAATAAATAAGAGACAGATTTCAATCAAGGACTTCAAAATAAAGTTTGCAATACTTAGAAAAACAAAATAAGGTGGATTGTAGAATTGCTTTGCAGTAAAAACTACATTTATAAAGTTTTCTATTGCAAGATTTTGTATAGACATAAACACTCATGTTTAAATACATCTGTTGTATTGAAATTGAAAATAAGCCAGGACAAGTGAGTGTATGCACAATGACAGTTTACTAAGATAGTCAAACAAAGAATAAACCCCTAAAATATGATTTGGACATGCTGCACTGCCCAGGAGCAGCCCAAACACACGCATGAGCTGCCAGGTGATGCACATACATGAGGACAGAATCATTTCCAGCAGCTTGGCAGGAGCAGAGTTTTCCTGCCTTCGACATACTCTATTAAAATCAGCGTAATTTCCAAAGGAAATTGAAACATGTTCTGTCGCTGTGTGACAGTTTAATAGTGGAGCTGCAGTGAGGAATACTGGAGGAGACAAGCTAGGAGATAAGAGAACAGTTTGCATCCTGCCCATACTGCAACATGGAGTTTTAATTAACAAGCCAGTCTGCCCTGAAGGACTGATCCCAACAGCACAGGAACTTTTCTGCAGGGAAATCAGGGATGAACCCCTTGGAAAAACAAATGAGAGAAGGAAAGTATAGGAAAGTATAATAGAAGGAAATTATTCCTGAGAAGAATGTAGCATGGGATGAGTCAAGGACTGATGGTCAGAAGTCTTAAAATCACAGAATCAGAGAGTGAGATGGGTTGGAAGGGATCTTAAAGCTCATCTCATTCCACCCCCCTGCCATGGGCAGGGACACCTTCCACTACACCAGGGTGCTCAAAGCCCCATCCAACCTGGACTGAAACACTTCCAGGGATGAAGCAGCCACAGCTTCTCGGGGCATTTGTCAAAAAAATCTTTGTCCCAAAATCCTGTACCATGATTTAGCTTCTATTTTATCATATCAAACACAAACTACAGAGAGCCGCGACTTCACAAAAATGAAGAAAACTGGGGTATGGAAAGGACAGGTAGGGACACAGATTGCAGCTGAGGCAAGGTCAGTCCCTCACAGCAGATTGCACAAGACCTGAGAGGACACAGTGGGTCCTGGGTTTTAGCTATGCACTGAAGAGAAAACTAACAGAAATTCTATGGACCTCAGATTGCTGGTGGTTGCCAGACTTTTACACAAAAACTGTGTCTCAATGAATAAGAGCTGATGCTATTTTAGAGTGTTTTGGCAAGTAATAAAGATATTAAGAAGAGCTGGTCATAAAACATTAACTTGGATTGAGTGCATACAAGCCCATTCACATTAAATTAAGGATAAAGAGAGGTTAAGTGTTGTAAGAGAATCAAAGTTCACTCTTTAGCTATGAGAAATGAAATCAAACAGTAAAATCAAGTGGATAAGGAGATCAGGAATGGGAAAGCTGCCATCTAAATATTTCTCTCAGGTCAAAGATGAAAAACTATTTGAAAGCTGCATCCTCAGAGCTAACCTCAAAAGGGACATGAGGATCAAATAGAGAGACTCTGTATTAAGGAGAGGAAAGGATTCATTAGCAATGTCTTGAAAGTCAGCAAGAAGCAGAGAGATAAAATAAGAGCTGCCAGAAGTCAAGCTGTGCCATTGCTCAGCAAATGAAAACAAAGCAGCAAGGGATGTTTCAACCATACAAGTAAAGGAAACCAGAAGGGGAAGGGAAGAGGGGATGCTGTAAGGAGAGGTAAGAGAAAACCTTATCAGCTGTATCCCTAACACACAGTTCTACAGCAATAAATAACAAAGAAATGAATCAGGGTAAGGTACAGCCTGGCACTGATTATGGAAATTCAAATATCAATCAAAATAACCCATAAGGTTAAAAAAAAAAATTACTTTTTTTCTTGACTCCTGCATTTATGAATTTGATGAAAGAGAAGCTTAAATATTTAAATAAATCATTGCATAAGTGCTCACCTTTGTACACAGATGCTATTTCCCCTATGACAATAGTACTTACATGAAAACAAGGAGGTTTGGGACTTGCTACTTGAGTATCCAATGACAAAGATTTTACATTGCAGCTCATCAACTCCTCCATATTTAAAACTCAGGACTTGAAAATAAACTAAGACTTTACCAGTTCATGAAGTAAAAACTCTCCAGCTGCAAACTGATTATCAAAACCGTAAGTGATATTAAAAACAGTCCAAAGCCAACCTGCCAAATCTTCAGTCTGCAATCAACAAGACAAAGTTTCCCAAGTAATTAAAACCCAGTATCTTTAGGAAAAGATGATAAGAACATTTCACAAGTATTCCTAATACTTTTTTTTAAATTCAGGAAAAATATCACTATAGCTTAAGGACCTTTTTTCCAGGTGGATCTCATTTTCTTGCTCAATGTTATCCTGTGCATTATTTTTGTTGAAAGAGTGAGTTTGCCTGACCAATATGTTTGAAACACTGAGTGCACTGATGTGAAATGTCAGCTTTCACAAAACAATCGCATGAACAAGGCTGAAGATGGAAGGATTTGGGTTCCCATATTTGACCAAGTTTCTTCAATGAGGCAGAATTCAAATATGCCAAGCTTTAGTTGAGCTCTGTGCTGCCCCATCCCTGTAACTGCTGGAGTTGGACAGGGCTGGAGAAAGCTGGGCTAGCCAAAGCTGTCCTTGCCCAAGGCACCTTTAAAGCCCTTTCCAACCCAAACCATTCCATGATCTCCACTCCAGACCTCCAAGAATTTTGTCCTTCAAACACTCACATCATTCTGAGCACACAGGGAGCTGATACTTGACCAGCCCACTGCAAGAAGGTGGCTGAGGCTGCTCTGAATTGTGAGCTGCCTCAGCAGTTGCAGGATCTGTAACTGCAATCACAGAGTGATTCTGTCTGATTTTATCACCCCCAATCACAGTGTGATTCTGTCTGATTTTAGGACCACCAGTCAGAGAGTGATTCTGTCTGATTTAATCACCACTAAGCTCCGTCCCTGCTCATTCTGCACCACTTCATCCCCACGGCCAGCCTGGTGCCCCAGACACTGCCTGCCAACCACCCACCCCTAATAAAGGGGAAGGATGAGCTGCTGGTCCTGCACGTGCCACCAGCCAGAGGCAGCAGCAAGAGAAAGGGGGTGGCCCTTGAGCTGGGCCTTTTGAGTACCTGGCACTAAAGAGCTCCTAAAGCATTTCCTCTGTCTGCTCTTTCCAGGCTTCCTTTCCAGATTTATCAGTCCTCTTCTACAACACCAAGACTTGCACATTTGAAATCAGACACCTTGTAATCACGGCCCTGTTAATAAATGACTGTCTCTATTTCACATCTTCAGATCCACTGGGCTGAGGCATAATCAGAAGATTCCTCACACCCTCTTCCTCTTACCCAGGAACATCAGACTCTGTCTGCTCTGGGATTACACCAGACTGGCTCAGCTTGTACTCCTCCATACACAGCAAACTGCCAGAGTTTTGAGAGAAATAGAAAAAGCACCTTTAAACAATTTGACATATATTAGCAGCTCCTACCTGTATTTTTATGGGCCAGGTGAAATTGCTGACGTAAACAAAGAAGGTGATGTTCGGGTTGTTGCGGAAATCAAATTTCTCATTGGAGAAACTGTCCTTGTACTCTTTAATATTAGTTCTGGAAACAACTGGAATTTCCTCCCCAGCCTGTGTGCCAGCTGTTGTAAGGAGTAGCAAGAAAAGGTATTTCAAGGTGCACTTAAGAAAACAAACAAAAAGGCAAACCATCCTAAATTCTAATTTTAAAAAATTAACTATTCATTCAAAACCAACTATGTCAAGCTGCACTGCGTTATCAAAACCACTGTGTGCCAAGATGTTGCATTGTAAAAAATCAAATTTGCACTTTCAATGTTTACAAAACAACACTATAAAAGTTGAAAACATAGGTTTTTTAAACATTTTACTTCCCCCCTCAGGCTGACAATTTAAGAACACTATGCAAAAAGTACATAGGTTAAAAACCCCCCAGAGTTTTCCAACTTAAATCTGCCTTTTTCAGAAACTGCTAAATGAAAGAAGCTCCTGAGTTACTCAAATCATCCTCAATTTACCTGCAAAACTTGTAGACCAAGTAATGTTGAGGTTGAAGTTTTTAGATGCATTGATGAACATGTCCAGGTCTCTGTTTTGCTGAAGGAAAAAACAAAAAAGAAACCCCATTTTTAGGATAAGCAGTTTTACTGTACTGTTTCCTGGGAAATCATTGCTAAAAAAAATTATCTTGAAATTTGTAACATAAAGAAAATACATCAAGCTAAAAACTACATAATGTATTTTCTGGAAGAAGTATTCGCCTCCTCAAGGAGCAAAAATATACATAACAAAGGAGTCACGTGTACAGAATATCAAGGGAAGAACTGAGACACAAGATGTGGGATGAAAACAAGCAAAACATCTCTGCTCTGGAGCCAGGCCAGGGGAGATGGGATTGCTCAGCCTGCAGAAGAGAAGTGCCTGAGGAGTGCCTGAAGGGGTTCCAGGAGAGCTGCAGAGGGACTGGGGACAAGGGATGGAGGGACAGGAGCCAGGGAACGGCTCCCAGTGCCAGAGGGCAGGGATGGATGGGAGATTGGGAATCGGGAATTTTTCCCTGGCAGAGTGGGGAGGGGCTGGGCTGGGATTCCCAGATTTGCTGTGGCTGCCCCTGGATCCCTGGCAGTGTCCAAGGTCAGGCTGGACACTGGGGCTGGGAGCAGCCTGGGACAGTGGAAGGTGTCCCTGCCATGGCAGGGGGGTTTGGAGCAGGATGAGCTTTAAGGTCCCTTCCAACTCAAACTGGTCTGTGATTTAAAAAAAGCTGGAATGGCTCAGAGGTTGTTCCAACAACTGGTAAGAATCAGCTGTGGCTCTTTATGAAATCTTCCTGTGATGATTTGGTACTACATAGCCAAGCCACGGTCAAAAAGCTCTGGGTGCTTCATGGAGCAGGACATACCTTCCATATCACAGGAGTACACCCAAAGACCCACAGAACTGTAACAACTCATTGCCTCCAGGGCCAAGAGAAGGCAATGGACAAAGTTAAAAGGGAAAATAGAAAATGTACCTCTTCAGGTGTTGCTACAAAGTTGATTGCTGTGTAATAGCGATCGTCCTCCTGGGAAAGGCTGAAGGTGAACTGATAGTCAATGAGCAGAGTATCTGTAAGGAATGCAGGGAGACAGTTATCCCATCTCCTGGAATAAAGTAACTTCTGCAAAGCAAGCCATGATGTCACTGAAGGGTTTCTTGGACAACCAGAACAGACACTATCGTGACACTGCTACAAATTACTTCAACCTACATTTGATCCCACATAAGGAAGAAAAAACTCCAGGAGCTGAGCCTAGCTAGAGAGGGAAGAGAGCTGGCTTATACTTGCCAGGCAACAGCCTCCAGCCTTGATCTAAATCAATATTCCTACCTATACACTCTAAAAAACATGCCAAAAGATTTACTTTTCCAGCCTGCAATACCTCTGTGATCAAAGGGAATAGCAGAAAAGTTCAGTAGCTGTGTAATTCCCACTGGGTAATTCCCACTTGGAACAGGACAGTGGTCCCCCCATTCCAGGTTTCTGTACATCAGCAGATTTTCCTGGAGAGGTTCTACAGAGCAGCTGGTTGGTGATGAACCCAGCTGCCATCCTGCTCTGGGACACATCCCACCCAGGCACGCCAGGAGCAGCCTCTGCTCTGTCTGTCCTTCCCTGCTCCCGTCTGCCCAGGCTGGTGTGAGCCACAGCCACCTGTGGGGTGCACTCACCCACCTCAGTACCTTTCCACTCCTGCACACTGCTGTGACTTGTGCACATTCCTGAAGCCATGCAGAGATATTCCCAGCAATAATAACCAGGAACTGACACACCAGGTGCTGTTTTCCTCTCACTGCCTCCCAGTGACCCCTCATTGACTGACACAAGTCAGACAAGCTGCTGGTGTCCATCAGACACAGCACAGAGAAACAGTCAGGGAATGAAACCACGCAAGAGAGGATGTGGGCAGCACAAGGTTCTTCCTGTAAGAGCTGCAAAGCTTTGCCTTTCTCCACTTTTCATCCCTGCCTTTTCAGCAAGGAATTTGGTCATTCTTACACAGAGATGCCACGAGGAGCCAGTAGTGCCCTTGTTTGGCCACACAAGCAGAATTCAAATAAGCCAAAACCAGGCAGTTGATAATTTCTGTGCTGGACAAAACCACTACTGGAGACTTTATGTAATTTAAGATTCCATGTCTCCCCGCCTGCCAGGCTGCTGATTGCTAATATTTGCAAATAGAAGCTGGAAAGTTTCCATTAGGTAATCTGAATCTTGGCAAAGGATCTTCTGGAACTGCATGGGAATCCAACTGCTCATTTCAGAGGAAACGTGGCAATTTTGAAATCCATTCTAACCTGGACCAGAATTTAAAATAAACAGTATTTTGCATTTCTAAAAATTCTAAGGACACTCCTTGTTTTTTACCTGTTGGGAATATAGTTTAGAGTGCTCTCCAAAAGACCAGATTTCATCTCAGTCACATGAAAAACATTCAAAACATTGTTCAAAAGATCTAATCATCACATGGACCTTATCAAGAAAAGTATTTTCATTCTCTTTAAACAACGTATTTGAGAAAAGTGAAGGTTTTTACAGCTGTTTTTTAGTCCTTTCCTTAATCCTCCATACTTTAAACATATGCTGAGGCAACTGAAACAAGTTTTAAATAAGTTATTTTAAACTTCAAGCACATTTTTTATCTCCAAACAAAATCCCAAGGGTACTCACAGTAACACGTTCCTTTAAGTGGATTTCCTTGATATCTGTTTTCAACTTCACACCTAAAAAGGATATACATTTTTTAATAAATGGAATTTTTTTTGCAGTTCTATTTATTCCCAGCCACTAAATACCAGAAAACACAACCTGTGCTGAGAGCAGTACACAATTAAAGATGAATGTCTGAGCTACACTGGGCTGATGAAGAAATTTCATGTTCGGTCCAAGTCCAACTCATATGCAGTAAAAATGCAATATAAAATTCTGGATATTAACATTTGCATCCACCTCGAAGGTATTTATTAGCTCTCCACAATGCATGGAACTGGATTAGCTTAGTCATTTATGGCTATTCCAGGTCCTATCCTATAAATGTTTACTCATGTGAGCAATGCTTTAAAAATAAACCTGGCAATGAAATTATTTGGAATTAAATTATTTCCCCTAACATTACACTAAAAGCATTTCTGTTATGTTACAGAAAAACCTCCAGCAAATTTGTTGCTCTAAAACTGCTCCATTAAACTGCTTGAATGTCAAAGGCTCATTTCGGATATATTTACACTCGCACTGAACAGCATCAGAGAGCACGGACGGTGAAATGTGCCGGGTAAAAAGAAGATATTGAAGGATAAAGCAAAGCAGAGAGAGCCCAGAGGAGGCCCCGAGCTGCTGCAGGCCTGGAGCCCCTCTGCTCTGGAGCCAGGCTGGCAGAGCTGGGAATGTTCCCCTGGAGAAGGGAAGGCTCCAGGCAGAGCTCAGAGCCCCTGGCAGGGCCTGCAGGGGCTCCAGGAGAGCTGCAGAGGGACTGGGGACAAGGGATGGAGGGACAGGAGCCAGGGAATGGCTCCCACTGGGAAAGGGGAGATTGGGCTGGGATCTTGGCAAGGAATTCCTGGCTGGGAGGATGGGCAGGGGCTGGGCTGGAATTCCCAGATTTGCTGTGGCTGCCCCTGGATCCCTGGCAGTGCCCAAGGCCAGGCTGGACACTGGGGCTTGGATGCCCCTGGGACAATGGGAGTTTTCTGCCATGGCAGGGGGTGGAACGGGATGAGCCCAGAGTCTCTTCCAACCCAAACCATTCTGTGATTCTATGTATAGTTTGGGGCGTGGGGATTTTTTCAGCCATCCCTTCTGCAAGATATTCCCAGTTGAAATGTTTTTAAAATTGGAATTCTTCAGGAAATCATCCTGTTCATGATATTCCCCAGGGGACCCACGGCTGGCTGCACCCTCAGTGCAGTCAGTCAACTGTCAGGAGGAAGAAATGAGCAGAGACATCATAAACACAACCATTAAAAAATGGGGGGGAGGAGGGGTGTCGAAGATGGTACGTGCACAATTTTTTATTGCAAATAAGAAAGGGAAATGAACTCACAGCTGACACTCATCTCCTTTGATTCCCTTGGTTGTGCAGAAACATTTCCCTGTGTTTGTGTTGCAGACGGACGCGTGGCCATTGCACTTGCAAGCTGTTGAGCAGAGGGGGAGAAGATGCAACATTGAATGAAGAAGAGAAGCAAATTCAATAGCAATTAAGTCCTTTAGTTGTCAAACTGAGATACATCAACAATTAACGTGCATATGAAAACCCATTTGGTGTCCTTTGCTTTCTTTGTGCTACAGAAGGCAGAGGAAAATAGAACCGTGCGTCAAAACAGAGCAAGCACAGGCTACCCAGGACTGGTGGTTTGTATGAAATCATCATCAGACTCAGCTTTTTAGCCTCAAAAATTCATTTAACTTCCTCTCCTATTGTTAGACAGCAGGGCTGATTATCATAACTAGGAAGGAAAAGACAATATTTGAAATAATTTTGGGCTTGTTAACACATTTCAGCCAAACTCAAAACTCTTGAGAGAAGAATTGGGAAAATAAAACAAAGCCCATGGGACTTCAGGAGCCTTTACCAGAAATAAATAAACAGACCTTGGGAAAAATAATATTTCATCCGTCGTCCTACTGAGGTAACAATGTCATCATCAACAGCACCAGCAGAAAACATTTGGTGCTAAGATGGTGATGATGTCCATGCTGGGACTAGTTCCCCAATATATTTTAGGATAACTTTGTGCAGAATGTCATTGAGTTGTGGTTGAAGCAAACCTGCACAGCCCTGAACAACTTCAGGTTTGGGGCATGCCCAAAACAGACCACCTCATTCACCTGAGTCTGCTCAAGATCCAACCCAAGGTAGAATGGTCAGGATATACAGGAGATTTTCTTCATAAAAATCCTTCTGATTTAAGCTAAATGCTGATATTGACACACTTTGAGACCTTTATTTACAAAGATGTAGAGGAGAAACAAAACCAAACCAACAAGTAAGAACAAAGCCTACACAGCCAGTTGACTTTGACATCTTGCTCACTCTCACTGCAAGAACGGATTTAACAACTTCTGGCATGTAGGTGCCATTTAGGAGTCACTCTGCCAATGCAGGTGCATCCATCTGGAGCTGTGCACAGCAGAGTGTACAATACAAGGGAAAAACTACACAAAGTAAAGATCCCTTGTTTATGGTCCTTGAGCTTGCTAGGAACAAGATGCTTTAAAGGCCAGAGCCTCCTTGTTAAGAAGACATATTCCTCCTCATTAAGCAGCCATGCCAATCAATTTACCAGCAGATTCTTAGACATCAAGTCCCCATCCTGAATATCTCTGCCAGCTTTGGACGTTATTTTAGGAATCCTTTTGATATCTTCTTTCTGTTGGCATACAATGGAAGCTATACTGTATCAGGGACACTTAATTGTGCTTCTCAGATGTGGATGAGTGGTTTCCTAGCAGCAACACAGAGCAAAATAGGAAGAAGCAAAAAGGCCTATTGTTGGAACAAGGAGACTGAATGAAAATTCAACAAAGTAATTGTATTCTGTGAAGGAAACACTCTTTTCATTAGTGCCACTTAAAGAAAAATAAGTCTTAGTACTATTGAGAATGTCTTGTACTTCTTTCCTTATGCTTTGCACAAGGGAAGCAAAGTGACGTTGGATCAATATTCAATATGAACATACATGAAATTTCTCTTGATTTTTTTAACCTCAGGTTGTTTAAAGGCAGATTGCAGCATCTTGAGCAATAACATTAATTCTTCTTTCCTCTCTGCTCTTTAGCATATCAAGAAGACTGAACACTCAAATATCTCTATTTAAAACAACAGAATCTATTCTTTTATCCACTTTCCTACAAGCACGTAACTGGAGATCATTCACTAAATAACTGGAATATGCACAGAGATATCTTCTCATGGCTTTTCAGAGAACTTTAAATTTTGGAAACAAACTATTGATAGAATGTTCTAGACACGCCTGGCTGAGTTTACAAATGACAATTTCCCACTGGAGCCAGTGGACAGAGCAGAAACCCACAAGCACTGGAAATGGCTTTTTGACTGTCAGTCCTGGTAACAGCCTGATGATGAACCACACTGGTGTTCCTCCTACCTTCTCCACAAAGCAGGGCTCCCGGGCTCACTCAGAGATGGTCATGGGGGTCCTCACTGCTCTTTCTGTGTTTGTGATGGGCCAGCTTCCCAATGGCAACACCACCAGCCACCTGCCCAACACTCCATGTACGTGCTTCAGCTGCCCTGCAGGGCCCCCCCGAGCCCTGGCAGAGGGAAGCAGGCAGGTCCATGGCAGCAGCAGCTCACGGGCCACCAGTGAAAGCTGTGTGCATGTGTTCAGAAGTGCTGCCACAGCTGCAATCTGATTTCAGGCATAATAGTGCCTTCCCTTCACTTGCAAATAACTTCCTTATCTCCCACCAGCATATTTTCATGGGAAACTTTAACCAGAAAATTCAGAAAAATCCTGAATGCAGAGAAAGCACCTTGCAGCTATTTTTACATTTGATGTGCTGCATTTCCTGCCCTTCTTGATTAATACTTCTCTACTTGGACACTTCCTAAAAGCAACCTCTGAGGAGTGATTTACCTGCCATTTAGTTATTATCTGCCTAGCTCTGCCAACACCAGGGCGTATGATGTGATGCAGACAATTTTTTCAGGGAAATAACTGCAGTTTGACAAAATATTTTCACCACAAGTAATATAATCTTGTGTTGGAACTTTTTACAGAGATACGCAGGACTGAAAGCATTGAAATAAAAGAGGGCAGGGTTAGACAGGATATAGGCAAGGAATTGTTCCCTGGGAGGGTGGGCAGGGGCTGGCACAGGTGCCCAGAGCAGCTGCGGCTGCCCCTGGATCCCTGGCAGTGCCCAAGGCCAGGCTGGACTTTGGGGATTAGAGCAGCCTGGGACAGTGGGAGGTGTCCCTGCCATGGCAGGGGGTGGCACAGGATGGTCTATTAGAACCCTTCAATCCCAAACCATTCCATGATCCCAGGTCTCACACTAGGCAGTGAGTGTGCAAGCACACAGATGTTTGTGTGTGTGTCAGGCTGGAGTGTACAACAATAGTCTGCAGCATGGCTGTGACAGAGGGCTCTAAAAACAGAGCAGCACTAAGTATTGCTCACAAATGCACAAAGAGTGAAATCAGCACAGTATTAATGGGAAAGCATGGAAGGACCACAGCTAAGAGAAGGGAGAAAACAGAAGCTAGCTCTGCTACCCATCCTTATCTGAAGAATTCCCATCTGGAAAGGTTTTCACCAAGCAAAAATGACTAATAGGCAGAAGTCAGCCTGGCTGCATCAGATAGGGTGATTTGCTCTTGCTTTCCCTTTCCCAATCCACTTCAGTCTTTCTGCCCAGGTTCCTGCTTCCCTCATTCTTTCCCCTTCCGAGTAAACAGTGTTAAATCACAGCAAATTAAAAACCTGGGTCCAAAGCACTTGAGAGCAAAGCACTTCTGACAGGAGCTACTGGTTCCATCAGATAAGGAACGAAAGCTGTTCCACAATCTCTACACATTTTCTAATTGCTTTTTCAGGCATCTGGATGATTTCAGTCTGTCATTCATTATCTCAACAACAAACTATTTTGGGACAATCCTCATGCACAAGAGTCCAAAGGAACTTACTCTCCATCTCCACATACATGGAAAAGCGACACCTACCAACAGACACGTTGTGATGCAGTGATTAAAACTGAAAGCTCAGGGTAGAATTCTGTATTTTCTCAGTCAACTCAGCCTCAATTTATTCATTACTTTCAAGTAAACTTTAGAGCATTTCAAAGTATCTTCACCTGAAATGAGCTTATGAGTATCAGCAGTATTTTATCTGGCAGATAAGGTTGTGAAATCAAGTGTCAGGGATGCACCTTGTTCTCTGAGCCCCTGTCGCTGTGCTGTGTGTTGGAATTCCATATCCCTTTGTTCTAAGGAGGGCAGCTGTATCTCTGTGAGTTTTTAACCCCCTTCTTCAAATCTCTCCATTGGGAAGTTTCTCATAGCCCCAACCATCACCACCTCCCCCTTCTTGAGGAAACAGGACTCCATGCTGCAGCTATTGACCCTCAGGTTCATCCTAAAGGTCAGCATTACTCCCAATAAACATCCTAAATTAATATCCAACTATTTTCTATTGCATTGTCGCCACATTTGGAAGAAGCAATAAAAAGTCTTCAATGCCCACTCATTAATCACCCCCAGTTCATTCTTCCAGGCTGGCCACAAACCACCCACACTCATTTCACAGAAGTACTGACACTGCTCTGAGCAATATAATTTTTATTCTACCTTTTCCATCCCTGTATCTAATTGTCTCGTTCCACCTCACTATACTCCACTGACATAATCCACTGGGTCAGTGCTGTTTAACATCTCTGCTGGTGACAGGGGCACTGGGACTGAGGAACCCACAGCAAGTGTGCTGGTGACAACAAACTGGTAAGGCCAGCATGCAGGAGGAGAGGGGGACATCCAGACAGACCTAGATGGCCCCCAACAGTACCAGCATAGCAGAATGGGGGCCTGGACAGACCAGAGACATGGGACTGTGTGAACCTCATGAAGTTACACAAGGCCAAGTGCAAGGTCCTGCATGGGGCTGGAGCAAGGCAGAGCACAACCGCAGGGTGGGTGGGGAAGGGCTGGAGAGCAGCCCTGGGGAGAAGGACCTGGGGGTGCTGCCTGGGGCTGGTGCCAAAGGCAAGGTGGGAATTGTGTCCCTGTGCCCTCCCTCAGGTGAGAGCCCACCTGCAGAGCTGCCCCAGCCCTGGGGCCAACAGCAGGAGGATGTGGAGCTGCTGCAGAGAGCCCAGAGGAGGCCCCAGAGCTGCTGCAGGGCTGGAGCCCCTCTGCTCTGGAGCCAGGCTGGCAGAGCTGGGAATGTTCCCCTGGAGAAGGGAAGGCTCCAGGCAGAGTTCAGAGCCCCTGGCAGGGCCTGCAGGGCCTCCAGGAGAGCTGGAGAGGGACTGGGGACAAGGCCTGCAGGGACAGGACACAGGGAATGGCTCCCACTGCCAGAGGGCAGGGCTGGATGGGATCTTGGGAATGAAGAATTGTTCCCTGGGATGGAGGTGAGGCCCTGGCACAGGGCGCCCAGATTTGCTGTGGCTGCCCCTGGATCCCTGGCAGTGTCCAAGGCCGGGCTGGACACTGGGGCTGGGAGCAGCCTGGGACAGTGGGAGGTGTCCCTGTCCATGGCAGGGAATTGGAATTAGTTTTATGGTCCCTTCCAACCCAAACCATTTGATGATTCTTTGATTAAATCTCTTAGGAGCAAGAAGCACCTTCCCTCACTTCTGCACCTCTCACACCTGGTCTCTGGTTTACAGTCTCCCCATGGCAGAGCACTGAAAAATTCACAGCAGTTCAAAATCATACCACAAGGTTGCAGGTCAAAACTCCAAGTCTTCCATGTATATTTGTCAATATTAAATGCATTGCTCTTTCAAGGAAGACTTTTTCCCAGTTTGTTAACTGGATCTTGCACAGCTGAAAATGGTTCTTTGTGCCAAAGAGTCCCAAAGCACTTTACAAACTGAAATGCAATTTTAACAGGGTTCTCCTAATCCTCAACTGAAATCCAGCCAAGTCTTCAGTGAAACATTGCAAGCCTTTACAAAGCAGACAATTTTAACTATAAACACAGAACACATTAACCAAAAGGAATAGAAGGTGAAACTTAGATAAGCAGAAATTTGTTCAAGACATTTGGATCAACACTGTTTCTTTTAAATACAGGATCATCAAACACTAAAGTACAGACATTTTTCATTGTGGTCATTCCAAGTTTAGAAAGGAGGCTATAAAATCATCTTTACGTGCAGTGAAAGGAATTCCACTCAGCAGTCTGAGTGTCTTTGATTTGAAGAAACAAGAATTGAGCCTCACCCACAGGAAAGAAAGCATAAATTATCAGGATGTAATTTGTGTTAGGCCAGCAGAGGACTGAGCAGAGCGGGAGCCTCGGGGCTGCACTTACGCTGGCAGGTGCCCCCGTTGGTGGGGTCCCCGTAGTAGCCTGAGATGCAGGTCTCACAGTGCCTGCCTGTGGTCAGGTTCTCACACTTCTCACAGACGCTCTCGTTCACACACCGGCTGTGCCCGTTACACTGGCACGCTGTGGGAAAAGCAAACAGGACACCTGTGAGTGCTGGGGATCAAACACAGCCCTCAGAGACCCTCGGGAGCTGCACTGTGCAGGGGACAAATGAAACCATTTCATGCATCTCCCTGAGAGCTTCTCGTCTCTTGCCAGCCATACATGGGCCCAAAGACTGGTGTACATCAATAAATGGAATTTAGAGCAACACACTGAAAACTCAACTGCAAAACACTACATGCACATTGTACTGGAAGCTGCTGGTGGGATGGATTTACAAGGAACGGAGAGGGGAGTGTGTTACATGGCTTTGCAAGGGTTTTTCAGGGTGAGAGAGATAGACGAGAATCTTGGCTTCATGATCAGAAGGCTGGATTTATTAATTTATGATATATAATATATTAAGACTATACTATAAGGAAATAGAGAGAAAAGTTCAGAAGCTTGCTAAGCTAAGAATAGAATACGAATCAATAACAATAGTTCTATGTCCAAGCAGAAAACAAGGACAACTCTCCTGTGAGTGGTCAGCAAATCCAAACACTCACAGAAGACCAATCACAGCTGCACCTGTTGCATTCCACAGCAGCAGAGAACCATTGTTTACATTCTCTTCCTGGGGCCTCAGCTTCCCAGAAGAGGAAAAATCCCAAAGAAAGGATTTTTATGAAAAAATGTCGGTGACAGGAGTGTTGGTTTTGTGTCAAAAACAGTTAAAAATCATCCTAAGCATTATTAACACTTAAAACGACCTTCAAAGGAAGATCTGCCTTCCTTTCAAACAGACTTAAAATAAATAAACAAACAAAAGTTAAGATCTGTAGGGAAAGGAAAAATTTCTCCCAAGTAATAAATGTCTTCATGCAGCAAACCTGCGCAGTTCAGCTGCTTCACAGCCCCTTCCATCTCCAAGTGTGTCATTCCTACTTATATTCCATGCTCTTCTCCCCGCTCCATTAACAGGAGAGAACACAAGACACCGCCATAGTGTTGAAAACTCTCTCCCCTTGCACTCAGTGGAAACGTAGGACAGTGAAACGTTGCTCTTTACCTGGACACTGGATGAAGGACCAGTTGTAGCTGGTCTCGGCAGGGCACATGCTGACGTTGAGCACGGGCTCCAGGCTGTGTTTCCCTGGCGTGGAGGGGGTGGGCATCCTGACAGGCCCCCGGTAGGAGCCCTCGATGCACTTGCCCTTGCCGGTGTTGCTGGGATCCGTGCACCACCCACAGCCCGGCTGCTCCAGGCACTGAGCACACGTGCAGTACCCTGAGCAGTTTTCAGCTACAAAAAAACAAACCACGATACAAAATTGTGGAATAAAGTACAATCTCAAACACAGGCAACAAAAAATGCAGAATGTATTCTATAACTGTATTTTTATCTCACCAAAATATTTATCTCATCAAATCTAGAAATATTTATTCTGATATTCACAGCAACATGTTCATTCATATCAGCATATTTATTCCAGAATCTAAGATAACCATTAACAAAGGTTCCAACAGTCAGTGAGTTACAAAACAGCACAACACACACACAGGTTTTTCGAACCATTACACACCACCCTCTAACACTAGAGGTTAATGTTCCCTCTACAAAACATCTCTGATTTATTTAAAATAGATAGGATGATCAAATGAGCCATCTGGAGGCAAAGGCTAAAACCCAGCCAGTTTAGTCACTTGGAGCCTCTTCCTACCACATTTCAGTATCACATGCTATTATTTCAAGTATTTAGCTGAGGCAAAAAGCATAGAATACAAATAGGAAAATAAAATTCCACCCTTTAGCCCCTCCTTTCTCTAATGGGATTGGATTTTAGGGGTGACAAACTCTTAACATTCTAAAACTTTTTATATTTCTTTCCCTAGACCATCTTGAAAAATATTTGCTGGATTCTTGGTGTTGTAAGATAAGCAGACTTTCTATTTTGATGTTTAAATAGACAATATTTGCCTTCAAAAAGAAAAAAAGTTTGTTTTCCATTATTTTAGCTTACTCATCTCCTGCCTGATGCTTCCTCCAACTTTTGACCTCTGGCAATATGGGAAGTTCATACTTTCATGTTCCTTAAATTCATTTTCTTCATCTCTTATTTTGCAACATTTTGAGCTACTTGTGATGCCCCTGCTCACACCCAGCTCCTAAAGAATTCAACATAAATAAAGTAATTTCTACATCTTCACTTTTTTAAAAACTTAAAACTTTGTTTTAAGTTTTTAGGCCCTTTTACTCCACTTTGAAAGGAAAACACACTATTCGAAAGTGCCATGAAGCTTTTGCAGTTTACTCTCATCTACCTAAAAGGGGCAAAAAAGTAAATAATTTCTTTAAAATTAGGTAGGAATTCCTACTACAGTCCGTAAGTAGACAATACTTCAGAATAAAACACCTGTGTAAACCCTGATTTGGATTTGATAACCAGGCAATTGCAGAATGCTTCGGGTTGGAAAGAGGCCGTGTTGTTCCACGCCCTCCATGGGCAGGAGCCTCTGGCTGGAGCAGGGTGCTCCAAGGCCCATCCAGCCTGGCCTCATCCCCACCATCCCAGAGAAGTCCAGCACATCCCACAGGGCTCTCCACAGCCTGTACCCCAGCAGGAGCCTCTGGCTGGAGCAGGGTGCTCCAAGGCTCACCCAGACTGGCCTCATTCCCTCCATCCTGGGAATGTCCAGCACAGCCCACAGGGCTCTCCACACTCTGCCATGGGCAGGAGCCTCCCGCTGGAGCAGGGTGCTCCAAGCCCCATCCAGCCTGGCCTCGTTCCCTCCATCCCAGGGATGTCCAGCACACCCCTCAGGGCTCTCCACGGCCTGTCCCCCACCCCAGCCCAGCACTGTAACTCACGGGGACAGCTGCTCATGGTGTACCACTCCATGCACTGCCCGTAGGGGAAGGAGGCCACGTAGGCGTTGGAGTCCACGCACTGCTGCATGTTGCTGCACCACATGCACTCGGAGCTGCCGCTGGTGCACTCGGCGCAGGCGGCGCGCAGCGCGCACGGCGTGCGGCACTGCTTGGCACTGTGGTTGGCTGTGGGGAGGACAGCATCAGAGCTCTGCCAGGAACAACCATGCCCTGCTCCCACTGGGAATGGACCTAGGGACCATCACATCCCAGCCCATCCCATCCCACCCCATCCCATCCCAGCCCAGCCCAGCCCAACCCATCTCTGCCATGGCAGGGACACCTCCCTCTGCCCCAGCCAGGCCGGGGCACTGCCAGGGATCCAGGGGCAGCCACAGCTGCTCTGGGCATGGAGCAGTGGTCTCCTTTTCTCTGCAGTTCTGCTGATGCATTCCTTAGTTACCCTCCCCAGCAAAGTGCAGGGCAGAGCCCTGTTTTACATGAGCTCACAGGAACATGCTTTAAGTGATTAGATCAGTTCCAGACATCAAACAAGGACTGAACTAACTCAGCAGTTTGTAGTCTGAGCCAATGCTTTAAGTTTTGCTTCAAGTGACTGTTCTTAGACCATAAAAGCCAGCACAAAGCTTAAACCCAAGTGCTGCAAGTGAAAACATACATAATTTGAGATCAGGTTCCACATTCAGGATTCGCATCCTGCTCTTCCACAAAGAATGATTTCAACTGCTGCAGTGTACTTAATTTTTTTTTTAATCAGCCAACTTCCCTAATACTTAAAGTGGCATTAATTGGTATTCAGAAATGATCAGCTACAATGGAGAATTAACAGACCAAGCCATCTGAAAAGATATGCAGTTTCAATAAAGCTGGAAGACTTTTCCCAAAAGCAAATAGATTGTTTTTTTCAAAGTTCTCATATCTCCAAAGTGTCTTGGCCAATTAATTTCAAACTTTGATAAAATCCTCCTCTGGCTACATAGCAAGGGAGGAGAAAAAGGGGAATTCAATCAGAAAGTTACTATTAATTTTTTATTTCTTTGAAACAGGAGAATGCTGCATACCATAATTACCCTAAATGTCACATGTAGGTATGCAATTAAGAAAAAAAAATAATTAAAATAATGTACTTCAAATATTACAGTTAACAGCATAAATAGTCAGCTATTTTTAAAATTTCTACTTCCTGCATGAAATATATACACAAGACTCTTGTTCAGAAGTATTTTTCTTCGGCAAAGTCATAATGCAGCTGGTTTAAAATGTAACAAATTGCATTCTCTTTACCTTCCAGGAAATATAAATCAAGCAGACAGCAGCTCTTACCTGGCCTTTCACAGACACTGCCGTTGACCTCATTGATACATGTTGCTGCCTTCAATCCCTGTTGGGAAGGCTCAGCTAAATATCCACAAAATCCAGCATCACTGGGTTCACTGGGAAGCCACTGCACCAGGGTGTTGGTGAAGGGGGACATGTCTTCCCAGCACCAATAGGAGACATTGATTTTCCTCAGTCCAACCCATGGAGTCAAAGTTTTGGGCTAGAAATAAAGAAGCAGGTCAAATCTAAAGTAGTGTTGCTGGACACAAAATTCATAATACAAAGATCCTATAAGACAACTATTTCTAGTGGCAATTTATTTTTGGCACACTTTCATTTTGGGGAGGAGCATTTGAGCTCTGTTGATATAATACGTGGTTTTACCGCTAAAATAAGTAAACATCACCTACTTCAAACCGATTTTATGCACTTTTATACCCTAGAGCTGCAGCTTCCAACAGCAACAGGGTTACAAAGCATATCATGCTAACACCAACATATTTTATTGTTATTACCAAACATCTACATAGAGTTTACTTGAAAAAGGAGCAACTGCAAAGCGGAGCCTCCCCCAGCACAGCCACCAGTGCTCCCAGCCCCAATGTCCAACCTGGCCTTGGGCACTGCCAGGGATCCAAGGGCAGCCATAGCTGCTCTGGGCACCCTGTGCCAGGGCCTGCCCTCACAGGGAACAATTCCCAATTCCCAAGGTCCCATCCAGCCATGCCCTCTGGCAGTGGGAGCCATTCCCTGGCTCCTGTCCCTGCAGGCCTTGTCCCCAATCCCTCTCCAGCTCTCCTGGAGCCCCTCCAGGCCCTGCCAGGGGCTCTGAGCTCTGCCTGGAGCCTTCCCTTCTCCAGGGGAACATTCCCAGCCCTCCAGCCTGGCTCCAGAGCAGAGGGGCTCCAGCCCTGCAGCAGCTCCGGGGCCTCCTCTGGGCTCTCTGCAGCAGCTCCACATCCTCCTGCTGCTGGCCCCAGGGCTGGGGCAGCTCTGCAGGTGGGCTCTCACCTGAGGGAGGGGCACAGGGACAGAGTCCCCCCTCCCCTGCTGCCCATGCTGGGATAAGCTCAGGATACACTTTCCCACCTTATAAGCATTCTATCCTAATATCCATTAAAACAGGCTCCTAGTCTCTTTAGGCTCACTTTTCAAAGGACTCTGTAGGTGGAAAAAGAACCCTGTAAATTAACAATTCCTTTTTACACTGTGTGAAGATTTAAACACTATGAGGGAAGGGCTACCATGTGTCTTTAGGAATTGACTCTACACCCAGCTACTGGAATATCCAGAAACACCTGGAGCTGTCAGAATCATGTATTTTTTACAGTATCCCAGGCTTGGCTTCCTCATTCTACAAAAGATTTAATGAACAATCTTGCTTAAACTGCACCCTACCTTTCCTTGGCTAAATTGACTCCCCTCTAAAACACTGTAAATGTTGAAACTCCACTTTAAAATTACAAAGGGTATCAAGGCAGGGAATGTTCTTGTTTTAACAGGGGAATATTTCTCTTAAGTACTGAAGCATGTTCTCTCTTGAAAAAAAGCAATCCTATTGCCTCCAACCTCATTTTTCCTAGAGAGAATTCTCCCTACAGTAGCCTCTGGGACCAGGAGTTGTTATTCTGACGTGCCATTAGGCCACAGCAGCTTTCCAGGCTAATCCAGGATTTTAGAAGAGATGCACAGCATCATTCTTTGTTAGGACTGTAGCACCACCTACACAACCTGCCCTGAACATCTCCCTTCTTCACCCAGGGACTGGAAAAAATATGTATTTATTTCATTGATGCATGAAGAGGGAAAAATTCCAATTCACTTCTCCCCAGGCCTGACAGAAAAGCACCTGCCACTAAATGACACCCAAATAACGCCCAATAAGTCAAGCAGCTCTGTGGAGTGAGAAGGTGACATTTTAAACAGCTGCTTCTCTGAGTGCAGTAAATAACACTTTACATTAAACACCTCCAGTGCCCCAAAGGGGCTTTTATTTATCAAATATTGTGCACAGGCCAGCAGAGGGCTCCTGCTGCAGTCCAGTATTCCACCCGGGAAATGCAGGTGTGATTTCAGCACAGAAAGAGGTCCCTCTAAGGAACTGTGTATGTTTATGTTTATCCTTTCCATTTACATTCTCTACAATTTCAGCTCAGAAGCACCCAGAGGGTACACTTAATTTCAAAAGAAAATCAGTTGGTTTTGGTTAAGAGGCATTTCCATTGTGTACAGAGCACACAATACTCCAGCAAGGACTTCTCCACAGCCACAGCTTTGTAACGCAAAGGATGGACAAGAGAGGCACTCACTGAAGACTGAATCTTCTGCAGCTCCTTCAGAACAAATTCCACCTTCTTCTGGGTAGTGAGAGAAGCCAGTAAAGCACCGTTGGACCTACAGGACAGTTTGGCATGATCGTAGTTCTCCTTGGCGTTGGTGATCCTCAGGCAGGAGTTGCCAACCAAATGCCAGTTTGTTCCGCAGATGTTTTCTGGGGGACAAGGAGGGGAAAGAAACTAAACCCAGAGACACAGGTGACCTTCCCAACAATCAAGGTAGTGAAACAACCATTAAAAAACATAAGCCCAGGTGGGAAAGGGGCCAGTGGCCCCTGGGCTGTGGCAGCTCTGGGGTGGCATCAGGGCCAGGGCAGTGCCACAATGTCCCTGTGCTGGCACTGCGGGGGCACCTCCAGTGCTGGGGAGAGCCCTGGAGGGGCTGGAGCATGGCCAGGGCAGGAACAGAGCTGGGAAGGGGCTGGAGAATCCCTGAGGGAGCTGGGCAGGGGCTCAGCCTGGAGCAAAGGAGGCTCAGGGGGCCCTTGTGGCTCTGCACAGCTCCTGCCAGGAGGGCACAGCTGAGGGGGGTCACAGCTGAGGGGGGTCAGGTTCTGCTCCCTGCGAGGAGGGGAAACGCCCTTAACTTGTTCCAGGACAGGATCAGGTTGTGAAACAAGGAAAATTTCTTCCCTGGATTTGTTGCTGAGCATTGGAAGGGGCTGCCCAGGTCAGTGGTGGAGTCCCCACCCCTGGAAGTGTTCAGAAAATGAGCAGACATTGCCCTTAGTGCTGTGGCTTAGGGCCATGGTGAGGCTGGGGTAGAGGTTGATGATGATGATCTTGGAGGTATTTTCCAGCCTTAATGATTCTATGACCCCTACCACTAAGAAATACCCACAACCCCATCCCAAGGCAGTATGACTTGGAGGTGTGCTGAGAAATGTTGATACATAACAATATTGGAGGAGAAGGAAATCTGTTCAGGGGAGCTGAAGTCTGACATCAGCATTCGTACGTAATCAAAGCACGTATTACAATGTTGTACAGTAAAATTGTTGTAGGAGAAAGAGGGGAAACAAAAAGAATTTGTATTTTGTTGATGTCTTAAAGCCACCTACTCACCCACACTTTGTCAAGAGACCTTTTGGCAGGAGAGGGTTGTTGTGCTAATCCTGTCCACAGCACCAACTTCCAGGATTAATCCCTGCTTCAACTGGAGCACAACCTCACTACTGAAGAACTCCTTACACTTTGTGATTAATTATTTCCCTTGCAGAAAAAAACCTGATGGGCATTTCCAATGTGAATTCTGACTTAACAGATGGAAAAGCTCTCAGGTGTCAATTTTTCAGATGATCTTTTTACACATATGATCAGATCATCCCCTTTTCTATATCAAATAAAACAGGCCCCTAAAAGATGTTTTTCTCACTTTCAAAGATAAGATGTTTTTCTCTTCTTCAAAGTCTCCTCATTTTTAAACTGCTGCAGACTGGCAAACACCAGACCTGGACATGTCTCAGACCTACCCTGTCCTAGGGGAAGGCTTTCCACATCCACTAAAATGTCCTGTCTCATGGGTTTTCTCCCCTTTCTCTATATTTTATTACCTACAAATGTTAATCACTGAAGATCCCGTATTTCTCTCGCAGTCATTGGGATAAAAAACAAATTACTGCAAGGGAACTAATAACCAACTCCTGTAAGCTCCACTGGAAGCACTGTAATAGGAGAATTTTCCTTAAACACTTCAGGTCTTACTTGCCTCATTTGTCCAGTATATGCCATTATGCTTTTGCACAATTTTAGTTTCTAAATTAAATAGCATGCATTATTAAATCTAATATCTTGCAGAAGCCTATTATCAACAGCTTTTATCAAATGAAAAGGGAGAGATGACATAGAGCCTAATAATTATACGAGTGATCATAGTCCTCTTCAGACAACTGGGAATGAAAAATATTCCAGCAGACCTGCTGGATTTACTACAAATTAAATGTCACACCAAAGCTGTTATGATTAAACAGCACTATTTGCTCCATCTCAACACTAAAAGCTACAGATTTGGGGTTAAAACCAACAAAAATTTTTAAAAACTTGCAACAACTTTTGGAGTGGGTGAATTTGGTACTAGTACCTACCTGGCAAAGCAATGCACTCCTGATTCCTAGGTTCCCACTGACAGTTTTGATCCATGGCACAGCTTTTACAACTTGTCTTTTTGTTACAGTAATAGGCAGGATTATCCTTAGGACAATTCTCATAGATAGTAACAGGCACCTAAAATAAATAGCACAGGTGAGACTTTCTGAGATATCCAGCCATGTGGGTTTATAACTGCCATGATTACAACGGCTGTTATATCACAGACCAGCTCTACAAGGCAATTTATATATCCAAAAGCTGTGGAACTGGGCACAGCCTGGACTGGTTATCCAAGATATTCCCCCAAAACACTGCCTGACGTGTTTTCTGTACTAAAGCTTTTACAAGAGGGCTATTTTGTTTTTTCTAGGGAAAGCCCTATTGATATCAAACCCAAAATGTGATTAATGAATAATCATATCACGGTGAAACCTCCAACTCTTCCCCTGCCCACAGCCATCCTCCTAAATTCATTGTAAAATACCATGCAAAATCCTTGGATCAAATTGAAAAAATTCAAACATGCAGCACTTTTGAGCTAGATATGCACTGGGAATAACAAAACAGGGATCATAACACTGACAGATGGAAATGTGGACATTTGCTATTCCAAAGGGTAAATTTAAACGAGGGAAGTGTTAAGAGCCATTACCTGTTCCTCTGTGCAGTTGTTGTGTGCTGGGATACACTGGTCAGAACACCACTGACAGCTGTTTGTGTTGGCTGTGCAGCTGTAGCAGTCTGTAATCTGATCACATTTTTCATTGTCTACAGCTATTAAAGAAAAAAACCTGCATGACCAAAAACAGGCATTTCCTGACAGAGCTCTAAGAACTTGATTATTTACAGCAAAAGACACAACCAAATAGCAGTGCCTGCAGATTTTCTGTTAGCAGCTAAAATCAGGTACTTTCATGTGTTTGAACTGATAGAAGATTGCTTTTATTTACAGCAGCAATCATCTTTAGTGCCCAAGGAGCCCTAAAACACACCACCAGAAAATAATGCACCAAGACATGGAAGCACAGGTTAATGCACAGGGAACTGATGCCAGAGGATATCCACAGGGACAGTGGCCATCCCCCAGCACAGGCCCATCTTCCTGCAAGCCTGGCTTTCAAGTGGAGCATTTTCATGTGAAGCTCAAACTTTTCATTCATCTTTCCAATTATTTATTGCCTGTGTTTTGTGAAAATTTACTGTGCACTGGGAGCCCAGCAAGGCAATGTCCCCTTACATCAGTTTCTATTAAATAATTAAAGGCTGCACATCTGTTGCAGAATCAAGGGCTGTATAATGAATGTATCACTATAAAGTTGTTTAAAATTATCCTAAGGGGAAACATAGGAATCAGAGCTTAAAACGTGAATTCATTTTATCTGCCTCTATACATAGAATCATAGAATCCCAGAATGGTTTGGGTTGGAAGGGACCTTAAAAATCATCTGGGACCAATCCCCTGCCAAAAAAACAAAGTAACTTTTCCTAAAGCAGTATCCCTGCTGTCTCTTTCGAAGAGTACAGGATAACTCCATCAGATCCAGATGCCCTTCCTTGCCCCATGGTGCTCTTCAGCCAATTCTTGGCTCTCACAAAGTCAATTGTTGGAGCAAACATTTACAGAATGATGGTCCAGGCCTGGTTCTTGGCTGGTGTGCTTGTTAGGGATAGAAAAGTAACTACAAGCAGCAGGGTAGGAAAAAGATCTCATGAACAAGTAGCTTCAGGAGCAGGAGATAGAAACACTTCCACATCTCCAAGACCCCCAGCCAGAGGAGGAGCTGCCAGGACACATGGAAGCTCAACCACAGCCCCCTGTGTAAAACCTGACCTTGGAATGGCACACAATTAACACAGGAGGAGTTTGGAAGGAGAAAAAGCCTGCACACCTTCCAGAAAAGGGAACAGGAAGAAGAAGACACCTACCTGGCTTGGGAGGACAGTCTTCAAAGACCTTTTGCTGCTGTGCCAGTGTTGCATTTTCCCAGGGGATGCAGCGGGGAGGGCTCAGAGCCCACACACACCTGACCCCAGGGCCAGCCCCCAGGCAGGACGACTCGTTGCCAAAAGCCTCACATCTCTCAGGTGTGAACTTCAGGATGTCACTCAGGAGGAGGCTGTTGAAGCCTCCAAACACATACATGGTGCTGGACAACATGGAAGCAAAGAGAGAAAAACTCACAGCTGTTTTCATGGACAGACCACCGCTCCAGTAAATGAGATTTAAGGTCTGAGAGAAGTGTTTTATTACATGCCAGCATATATAAATCCAAATAAATAGCTCTTGGTTAAGGGAGGCACTAAAGAAAAGGTCAGACAAATTTCACTGTTTCAGAGAAGCCAGAGAGACTCAACACAGAGTCAAAGCTACTCAAGGTCATCACACAATCTCCCTCTACAGCCAAAACTTTGAGGGACCTGATCAACACGATTATACATAAAATGCTGAAAAATGTGGGATTCCCTTGTAATCCACACTGGCAAGACACAGAGGAAGGATAAAAATTGGAGAGATTCTACCACAGCATTAAACCAGAGTTTGGAAACTGTGACAAAACAATTTGTTGCTGTCACTCTCTCTGCTCCTCTGTAAGAAAACCACACTTTGCATGGCTGGTAACAACTGAGCAGAGTCATTGTGTCAACTAAAAAACACAAAACAACCCCCAAACAAATAATTTGTATGGAGAGGAGTGGGGGATTTCAAACCTCCTTCACTATCCCAGCTGCACCAGAAAAAACACTAAATTTTAACAGTTACACAAAAACGTCACACAAAAATTCTCTGTGCATCTGTGTCTGTCAATGCACCTTTAAAAATAAGGTGAAGGGCCAAGGCAGCTGAAAAGAGAAGTTCTGGTTAAATCATAAGTAGTTGTATTATGATTTTCATTCTATTTTAGAACTCCTATGAAATAAATTTCTCAAACTTGGTTGCAATGATCCAATAACAGCTGTTCATCTGGAAGCAGGGATATCACTACAGTCTGTAAGGCTTAACAGCCAAAATCTCACCTAAGATTTCACCCAAATACTGAACATCATGTGCCTGGGGAAGAGCAGCCCCACAGGAAAAGGTGTGTAAAGTGAAACACAGACAAATTTTAAAAAGCATGAGGGAAATTCAGTTTTGGAAATAAATGTTGTCAGTGCAGCTAAGAAAGAAGTGTGAAATACATTGAAATGCACAATTATTAAATAACTAAAAAATATAAATATATATATAAAAATAATGACAAAAATCTAATTATTGAAAAAACTAAGTGAGCTGGGACAGTTTAGCCCAGTACAGAAGGGCTGATGGGAACAGGTGAATACTAAAGACATTACAAGAGCGAAGATCTGCAAACTTTCAGAGACTCACAGAATGGTTTGGATGGGAAAGAACCTTAAATGCCACCTCTTTCCACTCCCTGTCATAGGCAGGGACACCTTCCACTAAGCCAGGCTGCTCCAAACCCCATCCAACCTGGTCTGGGACCCTTCCAGGGATGGGGGAGCTCAAAGCTCCATGGACAAGGGGGTTTGTGCCAGACCCTCAGCCTGTGCTGCAGCTCCTCATCCACTGGTGCCCATCCCCTACAGAACACCTGTGCCCAAAGCCCCAGAACACCTGTGCCCTCACCTGTTGTACAGCACAGCAGTGCCCATTCCCTATAGAACACCTGTGCCCTCACCTGTTGTACAGCACAGCAGTGCCCAAAGCCCCAGAACACCTGTGCCCTCACCTGTTGTACAGCACAGCAGTGCCCATTCCCCACAGAACACCTGTGCCCTCACCTGTTGTACAGCACAGCAGAATGCCCAAACCTGTTGACATCGTGGTGCAGAGCCAGGCGAGGCAGCACAGACCATCGATCACAGGCTGCAAGTGAAAAAGGCCATTTCAGAAATGTTTCTCTGGACAATGAAAAGACAATTCACAAAGCAGTTTCTTCCTGAGAGATCCCCAGGCACCTGAGATTCTTCAGCAAAGGCCCTGAGGGGCTGGATGGGCCCTGGCCCTGCCCAGGGCAGGAACAGAGCTGGGGAGGGGCTGGAGAATTCCTCAGGGAGAGCTGGGAAAGGGCTGCAGAATCCCTGAGGGAGCTGGGAAGGGGCTGCACAATCCCTGAGGGAGCTGGGAAGGGGCTCAGCCTGGAGCGAAGGAGGCTCAGGGGGCCCTTGTGGCTCTGCACAGCTCCTGCCAGGAGGGCACAGCCGGGGGGGTCGGGCTCTGCTCCAGGGAACAGGACAAGAAGAAACTGGTTTTTCCTCCTTTACTAGTAGGATTTTTGACCGTGTAACAAGTTCTGGTTTTATCTGTTTATACATGAATTATTTGTAGTTTTGCCCCAAACCAGTATCACTGAGAACAGAGGCTTATCTTTTTTTTACTTTTTCCATTGCCATTATGTTCCTAGAGGGCAGATATCCATGTTTTTAAAAATATTTTTCACTCATCATAGCTTAAAGATTTGTGGCTGTTTTTCTCTTTTAATACAATGTTAGATTATTCCATCTTTTTCTATTAGCATAAAATTTGTAAGTTCTGCTTCATTTTTCACTTGGTTTCTCAGGTAATTTTTTTCTTTGGGCAGCATGGGAGAAAAAAAAAACAAATTAAGAAACATCTAACCCACTGAGCAAAGGAACAGAAGTAGGAAAAATCAGTCCCATTCATAACACTTAAACTTCATAAAGGGAATGGATCACCTTGGGGGCCAATATCCCAGAGGCACTTGGATGCATTTTATGCAATTAAGACAGAAAAGTCAATCTTCTGTAAAGATCTACAGGGTCCTCAAATACTCCTAAGACTCTTTAACATGAGATAGAACCACTGAGTAGTGGACTGACCCTCTGGAAAAAAAAAGCTCACAAACCAAACTAGTCCATGGATAAACTGAAAGGGCAAAAAACCCCAAAGTTTCGTTTTTTTTTTTACTAAATTTAACTGGAGAATTGTTGGATAAAACAATTGGATGCTCTGGATGCAGAGCAATTTTGTTCAAGAACGCTGATAAAAAAAAGACAGAAGACACAGATTTAGTACTTTGATAAATTGTGAATTTGGAATTTATTTTTACATGTCATTTGCTCCATCTTCAAAGAATTTAACCTAACCCAGCATCACTTCCAAGCTAAATATGCCAGTTCCAATTTTTAATAGAAGACTTCAGAAAAATTGGACAGCAATTTGCAACTTTTTGGCCATCAAGTTGTGTGTTATGTGAGGCCAAGAAAAATGTTTTTCTAGATTAATAGAAGGCCTGGAATATTTTGGTTTCTAAGCTTCTTTGCCATTTTTAACCAGAGATCAAATATTGGAGAAAGTAAGTAATTCTGAGACTACCAAGAATCTTCTCCTTCCTGACTTAACCTAAAACTTGCAATGCTGGGATTTATGAAATACACTCTTCAAACAGAACATATCAGCTACAAAACCATCCAGCCCCTCCCTGTGCTTGTCATCAGAATCAGAATTTTCATGGGCTAAATAGAAGAGGTTTCGTTTCTCTTCTGTAGGGAGAAAAGATCAATTTAAAAGCAACACCTTTACCTAAGTAGCAGGTGGAGGATTAAGTGAGGCATTTTTCCACACAAAGCTGCTGCAGAGCAGGAAACTTTGACAAAGGCCAGAGAGACCAATTTTGGGGATAGGAAGAGCTAATTGGCCATTTCAGTGTACAGGAAATAGGGAAAATACTGAGAGACAGCTCTGCCCAAGCGTTCACCCAACCCAAATGTCAACAGACCAAAGGCTTGTCCTGAGAATGGAGAATAACACATGCACACAGCTGGACTGTTATCCTGAAACCTTCCCAAACTAGGCAGCACCTGGACAATTTGAATTTAATATGCCCCAAGCTGGTCAAGTAGAGGATAAGGGACAAGAAGCAGAAAAATTTTTATTGCTCACCGCCAGCACACATCTCAGTGCAAGCTGTTAGCATTGCCCCACACAGAAAAAAGGTTTTATGTCCTCCCAATACTCAGTGCATGTGCTCTGATTACTTGGAAATTTGAGGAGGGAAAACCAGAAAAAATTGATGATGTAAACAAAATTAGTTACTACCAAAAAAAGTTTTAATGACAAAGGTTAAGGAGAAGACCTGGCTTTGAAGCATTTGTTTCAGACTGGATTTAATTCCACTTCTCCCCAGTCTTCCAACCATCACTGTGATTAATATCAATCATGATGGCTAATCATGAAGATGTAAAAAATTAGTAAACCAGGCACAGAGCATACTATAAAAGTGGGGAATAAAGACAATTATTAAGCCTCTTCACTGAAAGCTCTCAGTATCAACTGGCCTTGCCTTGGGAACATTGAGGGTTAGATAACAGGGGGGTTATATGGGCTTACTCCCATGGAGACCAACAGGAGCATGGCCAGGGTCATTAATTGCTGCACAGATCATGCATGAAGAACCACTGACAAGTACTTCTGCTGTGACACAAGTGATGGGCCACCACCCTAATGCCTCCCTAATCACACGGGATAAGGGAAATCATGCACAATGGCTCCTGCAATGAAGAGAACAGAAGTGGCCTCATTTCTGGAAAAGAAAAAAAAAAAGCTGCTCCTTTCAGGCTGAGAATCTCTTCTCTAAGGAATGAGGGGACTCAAGAACACCTCTCACCCACCATGTGAGGTAAAACCAATGCAAGCTCCCACGCATGAGTGTATATCTGGTAAGAACTGGGGACATTGACTACATCACTCATGTCATGTAGCACGTTACCTAAACCTGAACATCACTATTGGCAGATTTTGTCAAAGTAATGCAATTTGTGTTTTACACCTGACAGAGGGTTCAATAGTTCAGGGCAGATAGCAGAATGCAGAAAGAAAATCTATCACAGTTGCTACCAAAGTTTAAAAAAAATCAAACTGTTTATGACTGCCACAGAATGACAAATTACTGTGGGCTGGATGGCACCTTAAAACAATCTCATTCCAGCTCTGAACCATGGGCAGGAACACTTTCCACTAGACCAGGCTGCTCCAAGCCCCATCCAACCTGGTCAAATACCTCATTTTAACTCCTCAATTAAAAAAAAAATCAAAATAAGCTAAAAAAAATCAAAATAAAGCTAGCTAGGAGCCCACAAGGATTCCACAGGGATGTAGCTAGAAATCACAGGAGGCACGATGGAATCACTGCTATAAGAGAAAGCAAAAGGGCACAAGGATACCAAACCCTGATGGCCCAAGTATTCACTTGCATTTTCCTCTCACAAACCAGGAGTGAGATCTTGGTGGACAGTCACTTGGATATTTCAGGTTTACAGGACTATTTCAGGGAAGCCACGTTTAGGGCATTCTGAGAGCAAAAGGCAAATATCAGAGTACAGAAGGGCGTTTTTCCCCGTGTGAATTATCTGTGTATGTACCTTCTTTTATGTAATTTCACCTCTTCCTTCCTTGTTCTTCTTAAACTCAGTGTCTGGAATCCAAATCCACAAATAAATGCTGCCCTCTCCTGGCCACTGAAACTCAGCAAGTGCAACCTAATAACTTGGCCTAATGATTGAATAAAGCAGTGCACTGCACAGGTGGAGTTTCAGCAGGGTCTAGTGCTTGTAACAGTCCTAAGAACTTGAATTTTTGACCCATCATAGATTAAAACACAATCAAAAGATCAGAACAGATTTATGGCTGAGATAGGAGGACAGGAAACTGCCTCAAGTTGGGCCAGGGAAGATGCAGATTGGCTATCAGGAAGTATTTTTCCATGCAAAGTGTTGCAAAACTTTGCATGAAAGTTTGCATGAAAGAACAGGATAAGCTGCTTACGGCAATCATGGAATCACCATCTCTGGAAGTGTTCAAAAAAACATGTGGATGTGGCACCTGAGGACATGGTTTAGTGGTAAAAATGGTGGTGGTGCTGGGTTGCCAGTTGGACTTGGTGATCTTAAAGGTATTTTCCAACCTTAATGATTCCATGGTTTTATGATTCTGTAACAATATGCAGTTTAAAACCTAATTTTTAATGCCCAATGTTGTGTATAAACTGTTAACAAAGGAACTGCTGCTGTCTGTAATTAGAAATCATTGCCCCTCATGTGCTTGGAATTCTGTAGCAAGGTTATGAGCTCCTCCAGACTGCAGATCCCTGTGCCCAGCAGCACTTGGGATAACACTCCCACCATAAACCAGCATTCTGGAGACAAACTGAGGACAGCTCCTGGGGAACAGCCAAGTGTTTGGGGGTTGTCGTTATTTCTGCAAGAACTTACCGATATCATAGGCCATGAAATCCGAAGAAAAGCACTTGGCTCCATGGCTCATGGAGGTGTCGTTGTGAGTGTTTCCTCCAAACACCAGCATAGTCCCACTCACTATCACAGCTGTGTGCAAGTAGCGGAAAAATCGGCTGTCTTTGAGAATAGTCCTTCAGAAATAAAAATGTATCTATTAATGAGACTGCTGAGTACCTGGCAAAGGCAAAACACTCCATAAATCCAAGCTGAAGAACACTTTGAGGGCGAGGATAGTATCTAACTACTTTTCCTAATGAGCTGATTAACAATTATATTCCACATTGTTCAATTCCACCTGTAATTTCATTCTCATCTTTCCACTTGCCTTGCCAATTTATAGGAGAAATATACCTATGAGAGCCTCTTTCCAAAGCTGTGGATCTTCAAATCATCAGTTCTTTCCCTAGGGATTCCCAAGTTTTCACACTTGTCTTTTGAACATAGTCAGCCTGGGAAGACTCCAATATTTTGTAGTAACTCTGCTTTTACAGCAACACAAAGAAGTCTTTCACACTGGGCAGCACCTCTGCTCACAACTAAAAATTCTATTTTAAGGAGATCTATACAGCTCCTGAAAACGAAGCACTACAGCTTAATACCTGCACAACATGCTGGCTTATCACAGACTAAATCATGGGAAGCACTAATCAAACTCACCACCACTCTCAACTTCCATCAGTAGGACTGATGGCACTGAGCACAGAGGGTCATCTTTTGGAGGATTCTCCTACTTTTCTGAGAGGATTTGTGTTGAAGGAGGGGGGGACTCTGTCCCTGTGCCCCTCCCTCAGGTGAGAGCCCACCTGCAGAGCTGCCCCAGCCCTGGGGCCAACAGCAGGAGGACGTGGAGCTGCTGCAGAGAGCCCAGAGGAGGCCCCGGAGCTGCTGCAGGGCTGGAGCCCCTCTGCTCTGGAGCCAGGCTGGCAGAGCTGGGAATGTTCCCCTGGAGAAGGGAAGGCTCCAGGCAGAGCTCAGAGCCCCTGGCAGGGCCTGGAGGGGCTCCAGGAGAGCTGCAGAGGGACTGGGGACAAGGGATGGAGGGACAGGAGCCAGGGAATGGCTCCCACTGGGAAAGGGGAGATTGGGCTGGGATCTTGGCAAGGAATTCCTGGCTGGGCTGGAATTGTCAGATTTGCTGTGGCTGCCCCTGGATCCCTGGAGGTGTCCAAGGCCAGGCTGGACACTGGGGCTGGGAGCAGCCTGGGATAGCAGAAGGTGTCCCTGCCATGGCAGGGGGTGGAATGGGTTGAGTTTTAAGGTCCCTTCCACGAGGGGACATCAAGTTGAGTGGGTGGTCAACACACCTGAGGGACAGGATTTGTTCCAGAGGAACCTGGAAGAGCTCAAGAAGAGGGCCCATGGGAAGCTCACGAGATTTTACAAGGAAGAGAGGGCCTAAATCACTCAAGAATAAAAGAAAGAGTCAATGACACAAAAAAAAAAGGCAGAGATAGAGATGAACAGACAGTCCTACACTCTCCACTTGTCCAATAGGGCTTGCCAGACTGACAAAATAAATGTGACAAAAGAAAATTGGTGCTGCAGGAGTTTGGAAGAACAATGTCACATTTCTTAAGTTTCTGCCTACTCAGCCAGATTTGTCCACTCCGTGGCTGAAGTGGAAGATCAAATTAATCCAGAGAGGAAGTGGGGGTTATTTCTGTGTATACAACTGAGTGGGAAGGAAGGGGGCTGAAAATTAGTCACTCATTACCTTCCTCATCAGTACAGACTCACAAACAGATGTTGCAGAAACACAAGGTATTTTAACACCCAATAAGAGATGTAGTGATTCAAATTTACATGTGTTAACCCAAAAGGCAGTCAGGAGCCTTTAGAATCAACATTTAGAATAACACAGAATTAAGGACAATGTATTTCATCTCTGTTGCTCCAGGCTGTGAAGTGTGGCTATAGCTTTTTAATAAAACTCACCTTTTGGCAGCAACAAATGACAGAAGATTTCAGCTTAAGAAATGAACATTTCAAGCGGTTACAGAGCCAGAAGAAAATAGGGTTATAATAGAAATTCTTTTACAGTCTTAACTGTAGAATGGATTATCACTCGCTTGACTGCAGTAACTGCACTAATATGCACAGGCTGTATGGCTAGCAAGAAAAAAACATCAAATATTTTTCTTTTCAGCTTGAATCAAACAATAGATTAAAATGGATTTCTTGGCTTGTTCACACAGGGCTTGATTATATTGATTATATCATTCTCTATTCATAAAGGGGACATAAAAACAAGAGATCTAAGAGCACAGCATCTATCCTGAATTCAGGTAGATATAAACCACTGTACCCTCAAGAAATACCCATCCTCTTGTTCACTACAAACAAAACTGACAGGGCAGTAATCAGGAAAAAGAAGAAGAACAACTTACCACATGCGGGAATCCACTTCATATTTGTACAAATCATCTGCCAGTCTGTACTTGTTGGCACTGAAGGCCTTGTAACCCCCGTGGATATAGATTGATCTTGTATTTGGATCATAAACACTGCTGTGACCATATCCTCCCTGCACCAGAGCTCCGCTCGTCTGCAAGATGCTCCAGGTATTTGTCACTGAAAAATGAGTGACAAAACATGGCTCATTTCTGTCCATTAATAACTCATCAACAACATGGTGAAATAAATTGGGATTCCCCTGACTCAGATCTAGACACTGTCTCTATCACTTCACATCCAAAAATATTCCCCTTCAAAAAGTCTGTTGTCAAGGAGCATTGCCAGGTATTTTTAATTGGAGCAGAAATAGCTCTTCCATAGTAATTTTTTACATTTTGCAGACAAGATAAGTAAATGAGAAATAAAAAGTAGAGAAATAATAGATTGCATTTCAATGACATGAAAATGCCAGCACTGCGACTTGATTTTGAATGGGACTCAAGAGCACTTTTACTTTTTATATATATATAAATATATATATAAAGCCAGACAGCACTGAAGCCAAGTCTGACTGTGAAGAACACTGCAGTTAAAAACTAATATGTGATTCATGATCCTGTATCTCACTCACTAAAATAACATTGGTCTGAAGCACTTTAGACATATTATAATGCCAAGTGAAATAAAAATACCACATTACACACATCACATTACACACCAAATCTCTGTAGTAAGTGCTGAATGAAACCCTATACAAGCTTCCCAACTGCAGGCCAGAGCAGGCACACCAAAGGCAAAGGAAGTGAACAGTCTGCAAGATCACACATGGCAGAAACAAATCGCTGCCTGGTTCTCTCTGCATTTCTCTGAAAGGAAGAGATCTCGCTCACATGGACTCCAGAGAACCAGGCTCCAGCAGATCCTCTGGATCAGCATGACTGGAGGACAAGGACAGCAGGAGCAAAGTGCAGACAGGGCCACTATTCCTGAGAATAACCAGCACACTCTTGTTGTGAACTTCCTGTGCCTAACTACAATCCTGACACGGTCTGTGGAGCCAGCAATGTGTCTCCATTTCTGAGCTGGGTACAAGTTCAGTTTGCCTGGAAAGCCTCCTGTGCTTCTCCAGTGCTTATAGTAGAACTCTCTGGGTCCGAGAATCAGAGCCTGGACTACTCCAGGATATGGGGGTCAGATCCTATCAGGGATACGGGAATCCAGAAATTCAGCACCTGTTTCCCACAGCATCTGCTGCTGGGGACGTGGGTGTCACGTTAAGCAGGTATTTGGTCTGAACTGTTACAGCCATTATTATATTTGCAGAATTAAAAAACAATTTCAGAAGTGTTTGTTTTGTCAGAGGGAGAGAGGAAAACTAATCTAAAATGTTCCAGAGGTGCACTGCTTTACCTCTCAATTACAGCTTTACATCTTTGGGACCTAACGCTGTGTATAAAGGTGGAGGCACGTGGCTGCCTGCTCACTGGGTTATACAAATCTTTTAGGTTCAACTCTTGCACATACAAACAAGAGGAGGAGAACACATTTGTCTGTGTTTTGCTATCTGAACACGAGTCATTTAAATAACATCCAAACCAGCTGATCCACTGGCAGGGCCTGGCAGGAGGGCTGCCCTTTCTCCCTCCTCACTCACACAGGCTGTACTCCTGCACAGGAAGGCTGCCCTTTTTCCCTCCTCACTCACACAGGCTGTACTCCTGGACAGGAGGGCTGCCCTGCCTCCCTTTCCCCCTCACTCACACAGGCTGTACTCCTGCACAGGAGGGCTGCCCTTTCTCCCTCCTCACTCACACAGGCTGTACTCCTGGACAGGAAGGCTGCCCTCCCTCCCTTTCCCCCTCCCTCCCTCAGGCTGTACTCCTGCACAGGAGGGCTGCCCTCCCTCCCTCCCTCCCTTTCCCCCTCACTCACACAGGTTGTACTCCTGGACGTTGCTGATGTAGCCGTAGAGGGGGCAGTGCCCGAAGAGCACCAGCATGACGGTGCTGTTGTCCCTCAGGGTGACCACGTGTGCCGAGTGCCCCACCACGGCGTACTGCTCCTTGGCGCGGGGAGCCAGCACGGCCCAGCTCTGCCGCGGGATGTGGAACACCCAGAGCTGGCTGCTCACGTTCCCCGTGGCATCCAGCTTGCCGCCGTACATGTAGATGTTATCCTGAGAGAAGGCACAGAGGGCAGGGAGTGCAGCATTAGGAAACTGCTGTTTGGGAAGCACTGAAGCTACTGATTTGAAATTACCTAATAAACTCCCCTGGAAAGGGACTGGGGACAAGGGATGGAGGGACAGGACACAGGCACTGGATCCCACTGCCAGAGGGCAGGGATGGATGGGATATTGGGAGTTAGGAAGTGTCCCCAGGAGGGTGTGAGGCCCTGGCACAGGGTGCCCAGAGCAGCTGCGGCTGCCCCTGGATCCCTGGCAGTGCCCAAGGCCAGGCTGCACATTGGGGCTGGGAGCAGCCTGGGACAGTGGGAGGTCTCTGCCTGCAGCAGGGGACTGGGACTAGATGGTCTTTAAGCTCCCTTCCAACCCAAATCATTTTGTGATTCCATGATGAATTTCCATGCTTTGAGGTTCTTCAAGCGCTCTGTTTGTGAATGACAGTGAAGAATTTTTTGAGTACTTATGATTAAGCTTTGCCCTGGCCTGCACTGTTTGAGCTCAACAACATTCCAAACCCAAAGATCAATAAAAGATCTTTGGGTCATTTGGATCATTTCCTTTCCACAGACTTTGCTATCCTGCTCTCACATGGTCTGCACTTACAGCAAGGCACACAAGTGAGAAAGGAGGAAAAAACTGTCAAATCCACTTGCTGTGTCAGATGCTGGAAGATTAGATTCACAAATTTACTTGCAGAGCAAGTAACAAAAATCCCTAATCCCCCAGCACTGCTTTGGTGTCTTGGACAACAGAGCTCATAAAAATATTCATGTGATCTACATAAAATGCAGCTGGGGAACTCGAGCAAACTCAGCCTCAGGCATTCTTGTCAGCACAGACAGCAAGAGGAAATAATGGACTCACTGGCCTCAAAAAGTCATCTTCAAAATCTCTGGAAAAAGGGCAAAGAAGGAGCACACAGGCAGAGACACTGCAGACTTCCTAGGAGAGCCACCCAAGGATTCCCTGGAGCACAAGGGTACAGCCTGGGCTGGGCAGGGACAAGCCTCTGAACGAGGACTGCTTCTCCCAAAGCATGGCTGACATGGGATAAGGAGTGGGAAGCAGGAGAGAAGAAGGGAAATCAGCTGGGAAGTGAGTCTGGAGCACTGAACTTACCTTGTGCAATGCCAACGAATGACCATATCTCATCTCTACTGAGTTCACAGAGCTGTTCAGTGGAAGCCACTCTTCAGAAATGAGATCATACCTGTATAATTAAAACTGAATTACTTTCCAAGGAATAGGTATTAATGCTGAGAATATGATTGTTTGTCCTTTCTAAGATTTGGGGAAAATTATTTACCAATATAGTATGTTAGATATAATTATTTACTGAAATAATAAATCCTGCCATGATTTCAGCATGCACAAAGCTCATACAAACTACTTACGGGTTAAAAAAAAAAACCAATTGAGCCTGCTCTGTTACTCAACATCCACAGGTTGATCTCCTTTGCCCTGTTCTCTTTTCCATACAAACCCACGAGCTAGCTGTGACAACCTACACCACCTCTCCCTCAAAAAAGTAGGAAAACTTTACACTAAACACAGGTAATTTGCAACTACTTGATTAGAAAAACTCTGCCAGCACTTAAAAAACACTATTTAATTATGTCTTTGCTATTCATGCTTAAAATAACATAAACTCTCTGCCCTGAAAATGGCTTGTGGCTTTTCATTTAAAATAAGGCACTATATCTGCCAAGCTAAGGGCCTTGTGAGATAAAATCATCTCTGAGAAAGCATTCAACAAAGTCATAGGGTATCCTATTAAAAAACAAGGTGTGACTTTGGAGGAGTAAATTGTGGGTGCAACTAGCAACTGTTCTACATTTAAATGTGTGTTTTCAGCTCCTCTTCCCCTATAAGAACTATTACCTCTGGATGTGAGTGCAGAATACACACCTCTCACTTGGGTCCATCAAAGTAAGGTACACAAGTATCTCTGGAAAAAAGTCCAGCTTTTGCCTAGATCTGCCCTAATACAATACAAAAGCTGGTGTTTTTAAAATGGACTATTTCCATGAAGTACATTATTATTACTTTATATTTTAGTTACTGTTACATCTCCTCAAACAATTGCATAAATGCCCTCAGCCTAATGCCATTCCCTGTTTGGTGTCCCATCCACTGTGGATAACCATCCAGAGTAATCAGTAGGTGTTAATTAAGGAGCCAAAAACTCAAGTGACACAAACACAAGATAGAGAAGGGCTAAAAAACACTGAAGCAAAATTACCCTCTTTGAATATGAGGCTAGATATAATTTAAGAGCTGGCCCAGAAATATACAGAGAATAGTTAAATGCTGACAGACACAGATGAATCAAAAGCTCCCTGAACATCAGGAACCTTATGCTTTTCTTTTCCAAAATTAGCACCCCTTAGCAAGATTTTCCCCCATCTCAAACATGAGCCTGAGTTTTTATTATGGCTGTTTTCCCTCAGAGATGAAGCACAGACCAAAGCAAAGCACGTCAGGTGGCATTTCCTAAAAATAACTCTCAAATCTAAGTTCCTATCTTTAGTTTTTATTATCTGGGTTTATACTCACGCTAAAACCTTCTGAGAGTCAGAATGATTGAAGACATAGCCTCCAACAATCCACATTTTATTGTCATGGATGACAGCTTTGTGAGATGCTCTGGCAAGTTTTGGAAGAGTGTATTCTTCCCGTTCCCAAAACGACTGGTTTGCAGGAACAGGAACTGAACAGCCAGGACCTGGGAAAAGAAGGTTTAAAAATGGGTTTTTTCCAAAGCCTGTATTTCAGCTGGAGGTCAAACGCCTGCTAGTGCTGTAGCTGGTTGCATTTAATATTTAATACTAATTCTTACATATCAGTAGGTCTCGGCAAAGCAAACATCTGGCCTATGTTCAGGGCAGATCACTGCCAAGTTGGATGTGGCTGATCAGCTCAGCTGCACATGAGAAGGAGATATTTCACATGTTCAAACAGTTAAGCTATGGCAACCAGGCTCAAATTTGCTTCAGGGGCATAGGAATGAGACCTGAAGGGATGCCTGTACACCACAGGTTAGGCCCTCTTTGGATGGTTGCTTTTAAAAGCAATTGTTAAAAACCACAGAATCACAGACTGGGATGGATTGGAAAGATCCCCTTCCACCCCCATGCCGTGGCAGGGACACCTTCCAGAGGGTGCCCCAAGCCCCAGTGTCCAACCTGGCCTGGGACACTGCCAGGGATCCAGGGGCAGCCACAGCTGCTCTGGGCACCCTGTGCCAGGGTGCCATCACACTCACTGTAAAAAACTTCTTCCTTATATCTAATGTAAACCAGCCTAGTTTCAATTTAAAGTCATTCCCCTTTGTCCTGGCATTCCAGGCCCTTGTCCAACATCCTTCTCCAGCTCTCATGGAGGCCCTCTGGGCACTGGAAGTGGCTCTGAAGTCTCCCTGGAGCCTTCTCTTCCCCACACCCCCAGCTCTCCCTAACTGCCTCCAGAGCTGAGACGCTCCAGCCCTTGGAGCTTCTCTGTGTCCTCCTCTCCAGCATATCCATCCATCCATCCATCCATATGAAGTGTGGTCTTTTAAATCTAAAAAGCAGGTACTCTGTTCCTAGTCAAAATGCTAATGCTTGTCATGCAGAACATTCCCGCGTCCTCCCAGTTAAAGTGCCAGCTCCATACACAAAAATACACCCCCAGAGCTCTGTGTGCCCAGCAGGAGACTCACCTTGCCAGCCTGCAGAGCACACGCAGGCTCTGGAGCCATTGAGGCTGCAGTGGCCCCGCTCCGGAGCGCCACAGTTCCCCGGGCAGTAGGGAATGTCACAGGCCTCTCCCTTCCAGCGCTCGGCACACTCACACTGCGGGGCCAGGCTGCTGCTGTTGAGCCTGCACTCCCCCTGGCCAGAGCAGTTATTGGGACACATATTGAAACTGGGGAAAAGCACAAAGCAGCTCGTCAGGAAGGAAAGAGATTCCCAACAATTATTAACAAAGGCAAGAGTGATGCTGAAGAAAATGAATACAAATCATTACAAACCAAGAGAGAGTCATCTGCTACCTGGTGTGATGCACCTGTAGAGATCTGTACTCTATTCCTAAAAACTGCTTCATTTCACAAGTTAAACTTGCAGCTCCTCTGAGAAAATGATCAACATGATTTTTAGCCATTTGTAAGGCAAACGACTTGCCTTAAAACACCCAACAGTAAGTGAGGACTTTCATCAGAGTGAAAGGCTGCTGTGGTGTCTGTGCAATTTATACTCAAACTGTTCACAATTAGGTGCTATTCTGGGATCTGCTTACCACAAGAACAACTGGAGATGAAACCCAAGCCAAAGACGTGCCTGGTTCGAATAATTTCTGATTTTATATCTGCAACATAGCTGAGGCAAAACCAGATATAACCTTGGTAAAGGTCCAAATTTTGAGATCATAATAATTTCCAGACTCCAGTTTTTGCTGGTGCATCAACCAGAATAATTCACAGATGGGAATTAGTACCCATATTCTCACTGTCAGTGGCTCCAAGGCAATTTCACAAGTGCTGAGAGAACTACTACCTACACATAGTGAAACTATGAAGACTTATGTTCCATTCAATCTACTTGCTGGAAAAATGTTACAAGCAAACCTAAGGACCAGAAGACAAAACAGCACTTGAAAATTGTCTGAAATGATGAAGAAAGTTACAAATTAAAGGAATATTGTTCTTGAAGACAGTATTTTATTGCAATGGTGCAAATCCAACAGCTGGCAGTAGATGGAGTCCTGGTTTATGCAATCAGTCAGACTTGGAAATCACTGCCTCTTCAGCTCCTCTGATCCCACTAACTTCGCATACACTCCTCATCTTCTTCTGGAGCTTTCAAAGGGTGCTGGGTGCCCCCTATTTTAAAAAAAATTCACTATTATGTGGGTTATTCAGCACATATTTGTGTTCTTACTGAGGATGAAAGTACTGAGACTTGATATTCAAAAACTAAGCTTCTCATTTTAAGAGAAAGTCAATTTTTGCAGGAAGTCAGTTATGACTGAAGCTTTCCCAGCTGTTTTTTTCTGAAAGAGGTGAGACTTTCTGCAGGTTATTCCCAAATTAAATCTCCCAGTGTGGCACATACATAACTTGCATCTGTAGGAGCAAAAAAAATCCAAAGCTCATGATCCCTGCAGAAGCAAAACCTTCCATCTCTGCGAGTATGTCCACACATTTACCTCAAGAAGCAAAACCTTTCTAAAAGCAGTTGATGAATTAGGGAGCACAGAAGAATTACTTTTAAAAAGCTCATCAATGAGGACTAAATACATGTCAGTGAACAGAAAGCACCCATCTGTTTAGAATATGAACAAATATAAAACCAGTCCAGAATAAAAAGAAGCCAGATGGAGGGATTCAATCCAGGGATGAATAAGAAAGCAAATCCTGACGATGAGGACCCTCAAGAGCATGTACAGCCCAGTGCCTCAAGTGAAATGTGTGGCTGATGGAAAAGTGTGTTTGTGCTAGAGTATCTGCAGAGCACTCAGGAGCACAGACATGCACAAAACATAACAATTCCTGTTGATTAGATAGAATCAAATTGATCTAATAACATAGAATAAATAGTAAGATGCCTTTTGGAGCAAACATTCATCCACACTTACAACTGACAAGTTGTAACATTGAGCACACGCCACTTATTGGCTGTTGCAAGGGTATAATAAAGATAAAAATCTAATTTCAGGCGTCTGCTCATAATTACACACTTCAATGGCAGCTGCTTATTTCAAGACAAAAGTAAGAAAAGGGGAAAACTCCTTTTGCTCAACCTGCAGCATCACTGTGGAGTGGTGCCACTTACTTATAGGTGATGTTAAACCCTGTGAGATTATAGGCAGCATCACTGAAGAAATGTAGAAGAGCATATCCAGAAGTAGCTACAACTTCAGGTACTGTTTCATTGCTGTCTTTCTCAGGAACAATAAGACCACTGGAAAAGTAAAAGAACAATATTAGAAGTGAAATAAAATGCAGCAAAGCAACAAGAGTAAATGCACCAGTACTTTCAATAAAATAATTTAATTTCAATTAAATAATTGAATTTCAATAAAATAATTGAAACTCAATGTATTTCCATCATTTGAAATATAATGAATTTGTGGAATCATAAATAAATGTATGTTGGAAGTATTTAACCTGAGAAAGACTGAAGCTAACTAGAATTTTAGATATCCCTATCAAAAACCTTTCCCTCCCTTGTCACTCAGCAAAGAATTAAGCAGGTCCCATTCATAAAACAAGGTGGCACCTTTGGAAACAGAAATTAATGTGTCCCAAAATAAAATCTGTATTACAAAGTCAAACTAAAGGTTTGCTGAGCCCAGATCTCCTCCTGACTGTGGGCTACAAAAATGATTGGGAAAGGCTGTGACAAACCAAGCAAGTACAAGAGCATTGTGGCAAAGTGTAATCCACCTTCCAGACACCCAGTTCAGATGCTTAGACCTGGAGAATGCACCCAAGTCAGTACAGTAAAATAAACCACTCTGCCATGCTTCTAACCAATTCATTTCTTAATCATTCGTATCCTTTTCACCTGAAAAATCTGCAGCAGTTCGGTTAACAATTTAATTCCACAACAGCGGAAAAAGGATTATTCTACTCATTTTTGACTTGCTGCCTTTTGGGTTCTTTTTCTATGAGAAATACGAACAGTCAGCCATGGAATCACAGACTGGTTTGCATTAGAGGCTTAAACCAGAGACTTAAAACTCATCCTGTTCCACCCCTGCCATGGCAAAGACACCTTCTGCTATCCCAGGCTGCTCCCAGCCCCAATGTCCAGCCTGGCCTTGGACACTCCAGGGATCCAGGGGCAGCCACAGCAAATCTGGGAATTCCAGCCCAGCCCCTGCCCACCCTCCCAGCCAGCAATTCCTTGCCAAGATCCCAGCCCAATCTCCCCTTTCCCAGTGGGAGCCATTCCCTGGCTCCTGTCCCTCCATCCCTTGTCCCCAGTCCCTCTGCAGCTCTCCTGGAGCCCCTCCAGGCCCTGCCAGGGGCTCTGAGCTCTGCCTGGAGCCTTCCCTTCTCCAGGGGAACATTCCCAGCTCTGCCAGCCTGGCTCCAGAGCAGAGGGGCTCCAGCCCTGCAGCAGCTCTGGGGCCTCCTCTGGGCTCTCTGCAGCAGCTCCACGTCCTCCTGCTGTTGGCCCCAGGGCTGGGGCAGCTCTGCAGGTGGGCTCTCACCTGAGGGAGGGCACAGGGACAGAGTCCCCCCTCCCTGGGGATCAGCCCAGGCACAGGGGGCGTCCTGGGTCCCAGCTCACGAGGCCAGGGCATGTCCAGTTTCTTACCCACCAGCATCACCAAGTCCTCCCCTCCAGGGCTGCTGTCCATCCCTCCATCCCCCAGTCACTTCTCAAACTCAGAATTGCTCCCATCTGATGCAGGACCTTGCACTTAACCTTGTTGTATCTCACGAGATCCCTACAGTGCCAGTCCTTGGTCATGCCCAGGTCCTTCTGGATGCCATCTCATCCCTCAGGCATTTCAACTGCCCCATATCTTCTCATCATCTCTTCTTTTATAAGCTCTACCTGACTCATCACATTCATGTTTGTTGTCCTTTCTATCATAGCAGCCTGTCACACTCTCAACTCCCACCTCATTCTTTGCTTCACACTTCTGGATGCCTTTGGCTGTTTCTCTCACCTTTCCAGGTTCTCTGAGATGCTCCAGCCTTTTAGTTTTCCAGGACTAGCTGAGAGAAGCAAAGATGGTGGGCAAGACTTTCTACAGTATTGCAGACACACTACAGATTTATATAATGGTTTGTCAAAATAATTGCAATAAACTGACAAACTAAAATGAGCTTTGAAAAAAATAATTACTACCTATTTACCTATGACACTAAATACTTTATATCTGAGAGGGAATGCTTATTTTTCATTTAATAGAAGCTTGACCAAACCAAAAAATTAAAAGTTGATTCCTCCCTCATACAAAAGCCATCAACATGGGCACAAATTCAAAGTCTATTGAACTTAGGTTTTTAAAAGCCTTTATCCATGCACAGTACATTGTCCAGCACCCCCTGCTCACAGTCAGCTGCTATTTCCCTGTACAGATCCACCTCCACCCAGCGTCACTCCCGCTTCCCAAGGCAAAGCCGAAGCTCTGTGACCAGCAGGGGCAGAGCAGAGTGTGTGGGGCAGGGAGCCGGGGCAGCTCCAAACAGCCCAGCCTGGCCCCCACCCGGCCACTCCCCAGAGCCCAGGGCAGCAGGCAAAAAGCAATGATGGAAAGAATTTTCCCCCAAGAAGAACTTAATTTCCTTTTTTTCACATCTATTTAGAATAGAAAGCTTATGCAGTTGAAGAGAGTTTCCTAGGACAGAGTAAAAGAGTTTATCTGCTCAAGGAAATCACTCCCAGCTATCCACAGCACCCACTAATACCACCTGGGAAGCACTTTCTGTGACCTGAACTTTTCTGTCCCCATGATACAATACAATGGTGTGCTCCAAGAACAGAACAGACCCCCAGCAATCCTTTCTACTACAGATTTGGGGGTATGTGCACCAAACCCAGCAGATGAACGAGCTACCTACATCAGGATCACACTGAAAACTGCACAACAAATCTTACAGTGAACAAAAAAGATGTCCTTCATTTTACCAACACACCATAAAAATCACTGGAACCTGATCCCATGTTTTGGCTAAGCAACTCCAGCACATCTGCTGATATACATTTCAAGAAATATTTCCTTATGAGAAAGCCAAATTTTCCTCCGCTGCTCATTCACTTCTCAATGATAAGGATTAAACAGCAAAATTAATTCCCTTTTCATCTCTCTGGAAGAGGTGCTTTATTTCATTCTCAACGTTTGAGACTTCTGAAGTTTATCTCTCCCAAAAGACCATCTCTCACAAAACCAAAGAACAAAAGGCCTAACAAACTTCTTGTTCAATTCATAATTATTCCCTTGTAATGGACACTGCAGGACAGTACATCTCCACCACAGGAAAACAAACATTTGAAAATAATTTGGGTGAGGCAAACTGCAGCTCAGGAACAAGAAAAAATTTGCTTTTTTCTGGTTTCTTCTTCAGCACTTATCACTGATATTACAGGGCAAAGTGGAAGGCAAGACAAAAAATCCCCTCAATAATCTCTCCTAAAAAAAAGACTATCCTTGACAATTCTTTGTGTTCTCAAAGAAATCTCAAATTTGGGGTTTGTTTGACCAGAACACAAGTACCTCCATAACAATGCTTGCATCCCAGATATTCCCTATTTCCATCTTTTTCTGGTGGTTCATGTGTAAATAACTAAAGAGGATGTTATGCCTCCTACACAAATTTAAAACACTCTAAGGAAACTTAATCACAGAATTGTCTGGGTTGGAAGGGACCTTAAAGGTCATCTAGTCCAAGCCCCTGCCATGGGCAGGGACACCTTCCACCAGACCAGGCTGCTCCAAGTCCCATCCAGCCTGGCATTGAACATTTCTAGGGATAGGGCATTTTAAATTCTTTCAGAGAAAGCCATGAAGAGAACACAACACAGCAGGAACAATCAGAGCCTGAAAGGTTGAACCTCAGAAATAGTGAATAAATCAATCTGCTCCCAGCATCATACGGAATAAACAGAAGCACATCAGAATTTACATCTGCCATGAAAAAGAATCCAATAGGCAGAATCAGAATGATAAAAGATTATGCAAAACTTCCTTTAAATTATGATCCAGAATCTCTGAGAAACTCAGCTCTGGCCAAGATTAGCATGTTTCACAACACACTGCTTTTATTTCCTTTCATAAGGTTTCAAAACATTTTGCAACCATCCCTACTCCAAAGCAAATAAACACTCCTACTCAGCTCAGCTGCCCAGTGACACCCAGGGAGAGGCAAACCTCTGCTTTGGACAGAAATAACATCTATTTTCTGTAAGCTGGACTGCTGAAGTCAATGGCAGAAAGTAAAAGAGCATCAGAAATCAATGAAACATAGAATGGCCTGAGCTGGAGAAACTTTAAAGATCCTTCTGTTCTACCTCCTGCTATGGGCAGGAACACCTTCCACTATCCCAGGGTGCTCCAAGCCCCAGCGTCCAACCCGGCCTTGGGCACCTCCCAGGAAACAATTCCTGGCCAACATCCCATCCAGACCTAATCTCTAATAGCAGGAAGCCATTCCTCCTTGTCCTGTCACTCCATCCTCTTGTCCCAAGCCTCTCTCCCACTCATCATGGAGGCTCATTTCAAGTATGGAAGTTCACAATTATGTCCAGGAGACCCACCTTCTCCACTGCCCTGCACACACTGCCCTGTTCCTTCCCCTAGAGCGTTGAAAAATCAGAATAATTTAAAACAAAGGGCACCTCCTCTATTATTTTTCTTGGATTTGCTATGTGAGTATCACAATATTGGCATATTCCTCATTTCCTCCAGAGACACAACCTGTTAGAGATCAAAGCATGAGAAGCTCTACTAAGCAGAAAAAGGGTATAATTGAGAGTCACAAAAGGAAAGGGTGAAAATACAGAGTAGAGCTCATGGAGGAGTAAAAGGATAAAGATCATACTGAAAAATCAGCTTTCAATCCATCAAAATCCAATGCAAACAAATTATCCTAATTTTTAAATACTTTGATAGATCTGGACACACACATACACAAAATGGCAACATTTCTCTGCTACTAAAAACCAGTCCATGCACCTCATTCATACTCAGAACTACAAGAGTAAAACTAAAGAAACTAAAAATAGCAGTTACAGAAGACTAAAAATAAAACAATAGCAAAAAATAAAAAAGGAGGGAGGAGAATATAAGGAGACATTTGAAATTTATTGTCTTAAATGAAGCAGGATGACTCCCGAACATGGACTTTTAAGGAAAAAAACCCATTGCAACAACATGTACTAAAAAAGCCTAGACTATAGATTCATTATAGAGCTGGCAGCCCCTCACATTACAATCTTCCTTGAAATCTTCTCCCCTTGGTGCAGAAGAGGCAGAAGCAGCTGCAGCACCAGCACAGGGAAGTTTGTCTGTCTGCAGAAGCCTCCAGATCAGGGGCTTTGCCCAAAAACCTCCTCAGTTCTTACATGACTGCGGCTATCGAAGGATCATGGAACAGTTTAAGGTGGAAAGGACCTTAAGGATCATCCCACCCTGCCATGACAGGGAACCTCCCAGTGTCCCAGGCTGCTCCCAGCCCCAGTGTCCAGCCTGGCCTTGGGCACTGCCAGGGATCAGGGGCAGCCACAGCTGCTCTGGGCACCTGTGCCAGGGCCTGCCCACCCTCACAGGGAACAATTCCTCATTCCCAAGATCCCCATCCAGCCCTGCCCTCTGGCAGTGGGAGCCGTTCCCTGTGTCCTGTCCCTGCAGGCCTTGTCCCCAGTCCCTCTCCAGCTCTCCTGGAGCCCCTTCAGGCCAAGCCAGGGGCTCTGAGCTCTGCCTGGAGCCTTTCCTTCTCCAGGGGAACATTCCCAGCTCTGCCAGCCTGGCTCAGTGGTAGGGAAGCTCCAGCCCCTGGAGCAGCTCTGTGACCTCCTCTGGACTTGCTCTGGCAGCTCCAGGTCCTCCTGCTGTTGGAAGCCCCTGAGCTGAATACCCATTCCCATGGCAGCAAGGTCAGTTACAATTTCTGGCAAATAATTGAGGGAATAGAAGGGAAAAATAGAGGAGAGTCAACCACATGATCTATGTATAAGCAGAGGTAGGAGTGAGGTTTCTTTAACTTCAAGGAGAGATAGCTGAAGAAGGATGAAACCTAAATTTTGACCTCAACTACCTCAGGAGAGATTAGAGAGGAGGGAATACCAGAGGTTCACAAGAAAAGGACAGGAGGCAACACGCACAGGTTGCAGCAAGGGATTGTGGCTAGACATTATATTAGATTAATTTTATATCATTATTTTAACACCAATCTCTGCACCACAGACCCAGAGGATCAACGAGACCTCCATCCTAAAGATAAATTCACACCTTGATTGGACAAAGGGCTCTGATGGTCATCCTGCTTTGAGAGAGAGAGATCAGACCCTTCCAACCCAACTCAGCCCTAGACCCAAATCTGGGTGCTCAAGTGCCACATTCTCCATCAGGTACCACAAGGCTGGTGAGCTGCTCCTGCTCCGAGGGAACACGGGCTCACATCATCCTCCACCTGGCCCCTGAGAGCAACCACAGCAGCTGCTGGGCCACTGCCAAACGTCCTGCAGAACAACAACTGGGTCTGACCAGGAAAACACTCCCTGCCAACCCAATCAAAATGAAAATAAAGGTGCAAAACCAGCTCTGGTAAATGTTTAATGTGGAGTAAAGTTAACAAAACCAACTAAGTTCACAGGTACTGAGTGCAGTTTATCTACTTCAGGTTTCTTCATCAGGGCTGACAAACATATTGCATTTGTTTCCATGTTCTTTTACTGCAGTTTTGAAGGAGCACATTTACACAATCTCATTGTGCCTGTGGTCACAAATATAAGCCAGCAAAGATATTTTTAACACTGTTTAATAAAAAAAGCTTAATATGCAGGACCAGACAGCTCTGGGGGATCTCAGAATACAAGGAATTTAGTCTATGCACACACTTGAACTGTGTAAATGTTGGCACTAAGCAAATATTTATTGCTGTTAAAAATGATAAAACAAATTTAAAGCTTCCCTACAGACCAGTGTTGAGGATTCCCAAGATCATCTTATATATATACGAGATTATATATATATTTCAGAATAAATATCATCTTGTGAACAAACATAAATGAGCATCAGAAGGTCAAGAAAACAAAATGAGAGCAGTGAAGGAAGTGAAGGTTCAGGGAAGTGCTGTAAAAAGTCAGGGAGGGAACAAAAATTGAGTTGAGAGAAAGGAATTTCTAGTGTTTATCAACAAACTCTCAAAGCTTACAGGGCCCAACTGTATAAAGCTCAGTCTTGTAAATCTCCTGGCAGAGTGCAAATAATGAACAAGGAAATATGTTTACGGTAATAATACATTTAATATACCCCAACTAAATTGGGAAAATATGAACACCGCTCTTAAAAAAACTCCAAGGCATTTATTTTGTATTAGAGAAAGGTATTTTTCAACAGATGCTTTCTGGTACTTCACCAAAATGAGAAGCATCTGCCATTTCCTGAACTTAGATTACTGAATACCACAGCTCACTGCTAATGAAGCTAAATTCAAATGTCATATAAAGACGCAATTAGAAAGAAATTGGAGTTTTTTCCCTACCTCAAAAACATTATTGTACTAAGCTCATGTTTGCTTGTCCTCAAGACCAGGCTTCCTGATTTACTGATTTCCCAGTCTGAACCATAACTGTTAATGCTGTGAACTACTTATTAGTTCAATTTTAAAAGCCTATTAATTTTTGGAAAACACACAAGAAATGGCAGGCACAAATCATCATTTCACCAGTGTATTAAAAAATAGCTTGATTAGAATAAAATTACATTGGGTCAAGATGACATTTCCTCCTCTTCCTGCACATCAATCAGAACACGATACCAGAGAGCACTTCCAGGTGGCATTGCCACGTTTGTGGAGCTTTTTAGAAGAGAAAGGTTGTTCCTTCCTCAAATTAGGTGTTCTGTTTTGACCTCACCTTAGTCTGAAGCTTTTACTCCAAAACAATGCTACATTTGCAGCTGAAGACCAAAAAGCCACATGTGGTGGTTTAAATTTGTATCAACTTTTGTCCCTCTGCTGATTTTCTCTCACAGACATTATAAGGATTTTTTAGAACAAACATGAAGTATTTTTAGACCTTCATTTCACAAATGAGAGGAAGCCCAGCACAAGGTTAATTCTGGAAATAGTTACACAGACACTTGGAACAAGCAGAGTCCCAGGGGAACCTTTAGTTTTTTTCATAGATAACTTGGGATTATTTTCCTAATTTCAGTTTAAAGAATAAAAAGCATGACAGGGTGGTGTCACTGCAAGACTGAAACACAGAAAAACACAAGTTATGTTTATGTCTCAGGATGAAATGTGGATTGCTCACCAGCAGCCACACTGATGTCTCATCACATGGACAAGCCAAACACCTGTAACCTGTTGGCAGAACAGGAATTTTTACACATCAGGAGCTGGAGAGGGACATTTGCCATGGGATGGAGAACAGGACAGAGGGAATGGCTTCTCACTGCCAGAGGGCAGGAGAGATGGGACATTGGGAAGGAATCCTTCCTTGTGACAGCAGTGAGGCCCTGGCACAGGTGCCCAGAGCAGTTGTGGCTGCCCCTGGATCCCTGGCAGTGCCCAAGGCCAGGCTGGACATTGGGGCTGGAGCACCTGGGACAGTGGGAGGTGTCCCTGCCATGGCAGGGGTGGCACTGGGTGGGCTTTAAGATCCCTCCCAAGCCAACCATCCTGTGATTCTGTTTTTTACAAGGTTGATCCATCATTGTTGCTCCTGAACATGTTCCAAGTAACTAAAGACTTTGAAGTTTAAGGTGCATAAAAGATAGACATAATTCTATGAGACCTCCATGTCTACAACATTATCTGGCTTTTGCCCTTCTGTCTGTATTGACACACTGCAAGTTTAAGTCATAAATCATGTTCAAACCCATAAATGGGGTAGTTTTCTCCTCTCAAAGGAGCCTGCACACCAAATCATCTCCAGCCCAGACAGACAACAATAATTTTTTTGTCTCTCAAAGAATCAGGATTTGGAAATGAAAACATAATACTTAAATGCTAGAGTGCAGTGACATGCCTTGTTCATTGTAAAAGCTAAAAACAACTCTTTAATTGTTTATGCTGACAAAGAGTGCACAAAAGGACACTGGCTATATGTGCTGCACTTGCCGTGTTATACATTTGGATTACTGGATCATATTTACAGCCTGACATGTAAGTCAGGCTCTAAGTTAAGAAAATACCACTGGCTACAGTTAAGAGTCTCACCAAGGGGAACTCACCTAAAAGCTGCCAGTAAGGGAGCATAAATTGAGTCTCCATCATACACATACAAGTGGTCCCAGCTGCACTCTGTGGCAAAGTGATTGAATCGAAGCCTGAGGATTGTGTTTGGCCTGTAAAGAAAAAATAAATAAAGAAAATATTTGTAATTAGCCACTCAACACACAGAGCAAAATCCCTTCAACACACTTCTCTGGTGTGAAGCTCTGGTCTAGACAAGACTAAAACTGAGTCATTTGGTCTAACTGTAGGCGCATTAAACATGCTGTGGTTCAGGGTTTTTTTGTATGCAGCTCTCCAGGTATTAAGCAAAAATTTCTTTATGGTCAGAAAACTGTGTCCTGTTGTGCAGAACACATCATGGAACCACACAATGATTTGGAAGGGACTGACAAGGATCACTGAGTCCAGCTCCTGGCTCTGCACAGGACACCCCAACAATCCCACCTGAGCCTGAGCGCATTGCCCCAGCGCAGCTGGAGCTCTGGCAGCCCTGGCACCACGGCCACTCCCTGGGGAGCCTGGGCACTGCCTGAGCACCCTCTGGGGGATGGATGAGCCTCTCCTGAGACAAAAATTAAGCCTCCCCTGACACAACTGCAAGCCCTTCCCTTCGGTCCTGTCCCCGGTCACACACAGATCAGTGTCTGCCCCTTCTCTGCCTCACAAGGAAGTTGCAGGCTGTGATGAGGCTTCCACTCAGTCTCCTGTTCTCCAGGTTGAACAAACCAAGTCACCTCAGCCACTGTTCAAACAAGCCAAATGTCCCTCTGCAGCTCTCCTGGAGCCCCTCCAGGCCCTGCCAGGGGCTCTGAGCTCTGCCTGGAGCCTTCCCTTCTCCAGGGGAACATTCCCAGCTCTGCCAGCCTGGCTCCAGAGCAGAGGGGCTCCAGCCCTGCAGCAGCTCCGGGGCCTCCTCTGGGCTCTCTGCAGCAGCTCCACGTCCTCCTGCTGTTGGCCCCAGGGCTGGGGCAGCTCTGCAGGTGGGCTCTCACCTGAGGGAGGGGCACAGGGACACAATTCCCACCTTGCATTTCGCACCAGCCCAGGCACGGGGGTTCTGGGGGCCGGCACATAGGGCTGGGGCAGGTCCAGGTTTTCAGCATGGTAAGACACTATTTGTTTCATGCCAATATAAAAAAGATACATCTAAAGACAATTACAGAGAAAGCACAGCAGATACTTAATTCTGGCTCAGCTCCAGGAGGGTGCAAACAGCACTAACATTGCTTAGACCTGAAACAAATAGAAAATGAATGTCTATCAGCAGTGCTTGTTCCCACCCCCAGCTGGAGCTGTTGAAAGGACAGACACAAGTGTCTAGGATCTCCCCAACAGTATTGCCCTTGAATTCAGATGAACTCCCTGTTAATCCTAATCAAAAAATTGTTTTAAATGTCAGCTTGCTATATAGTCCTTCCTTCCCACAGAAGGGGGAGTCTTTAGGGAGTTATTCTGCAAATGACTGTTTTTTGATAGGTACAACAATCTACTCTATGTCTTTGGAAAAGAGCAGCAGGTGGAACTCAAGGATAATGCCCTGCTTAAAGAAAAGGTACAAAGAGAATTTATGACTTCAGAACTGAGCAGCCTGTGGAGGCACAGGGGATTGCTTCTACTTGAATAGCCTGACAGCTGTAGAGCAGAAAGAAATTGTCAATCAATAAAAGCTCAGACCACAAACAAAAAGGAAGAGTCTCTTTGCAACAGCCAAGAACTGGTAGGTGACAGCCCTCATCTGTACAATCACATGGTCCCTCAGGATGCGTGGAGTTCATCTGCCTCGTTCACACTCCAGGGAAAAATAAAAAGGACTCCCCTGGGATAAGAACAGAGCACAGATACCAGCCAAGAAAACTCAGGAACGGTGCAGAAAGGAAATGAGAACACTAAGGAACACAGGGCTGAATATTTCAGCTGGGTTAATCAGCATGATTATCTCTTTTCTGTTTACCACCATGCCCTGACAGCAGGGTATAAACACTCACAGGCAGGAAAAGGACTCCAACCTATGCCTGGCTATGGAACAGGGAGGAACATTTCTGTCTTCCCAGCAAGAAAGATCTCACTTCAAAATCCATAAAGTGGTGGTTCCCTAGGAAGCCTCTCAGTAGTAGTAATTATAGGCTGGAGGAGCACCTTTGGTGACATTACTGAGGACTCATAACAAGCACCTCCATTCTGATAAAAAAAGGATTCACAATATCTTTTAAAAACAGAAGTTATAAGGGTTAAAGCTGGCTATGCTGGCATTGCTGAGGCTGGTCTGCAATAATGCTCTTGTGAAACACTTTTAAATTATTTGTAATTGCAAATAGTCAGCAGCTGTTTTCCTATCACCAAATTAAAAGAAGTAGCCACTTGGAGCATCCAACTTTTGCTCTTAACCACCTCAAACAGCTGGGCTCCTTATAAAGTTAATAGTGAGTGGTTGCCTCTCAATTTTATCATTGTGGATGGTTCTAGAGCTTAGGAATTAAACTTCCTCAACTCAAATAAAAGTCTGAAGCAGATACAATGAATAATTCCTCCAAACCCATCAGACCTCCTAAACGAAGGACCACAGAGTGGTATGGGTTGGAAGGGACCTTCACAACCATCTTGTTCCAGCCCCTGCCATTGTCCAAGCCCCATCCAGTCTGTCGCAGGGGCACTGCCAGGGATCAGGGACAGCCATAGCTGTTCTGGGCACCCTGTGCCAGGGCCTGCCCACCCTGCCAGGGAACAATTCCCAATTCCCAACATCACATCCAGCCGTGCCCTCTGGTAGTGGGAGCCATTCCCTGGCTCCTGTCCCTCCATCCCTTGTCCCCAGTCCCTCTGCAGCTCTCCTGGAGCCCCTGCAGGCCCTGCCAGGGGCTCTGAGCTCTGCCTGGAGCTTTCCCTTCTCCAGGGGAACATTCCCAGCTCTGCCAGCCTGGCTCCAGAGCAGAGGGGCTCCAGCCCTGCAGCAGCTCCAGGGCCTCCTCTGGGCTCTCTGCAGCAGCTCCACGTCCTCCTGCTGTTGGCCCCAGGGCAGGGGCAGCTCTGCAGGTGGGCTCTCACCTGAGGGAGGGGCACAGGGACACAATTCCCACCTTGCCTTTGCCATCAGCCAGGGCTGGGGTCAGGGGCTCGGGGCTGGGTCATGTCCAGCTCTCACCCAGCAGCACCCCCAGGTCCTTCTCCCCAGGGCTGCTCTCCAACCCTTCCCCACCCATCCTGTGGTTGTGCTCTGCCTTGCTCCAGCCCATGCAGGACCTTGCCCTTGGCCTTGTGTAACTTCATGAGGTTCACACAGTCCCATATCTCTGGTCTGTCCAGGCCCCCTTTGGTGCCACTTCCTCCCTTCAGCACCTTGCCCACACCACATGGCCTGGTATCCACTGGCAGATTTGCTAAGGGCGCCTTAACCCACTGTGCATGTCAGCAACAGATACATTAATCACAGGGAGAAGACTAAGGAAAAGTGCCCTCTGGGACTGTAGCAAATTCTGATTCCCCAAGATGCTAAGAGGCCTCAGCTTGCAGTGTGCAGTGCAAGTTCACACTCACACAACTCCTGCCAATTCACAGCCCTCTCTACCTGCACATTCAGGGAACAACATGGAATGTGACTGAACACACAGATGTTATCACATAGCATCATATCTGACCATGGAAAAGCTTTAGAGACTAAACAAATGGATCTTACAGTCCTGGTACCAGCTTGGTTCTATCAAAAATATATTTCAACAAGTGAGATGCTCTGAACTGCTGCACCATCAATCAGGTGTCAGAGGATAGACATTAAATATGCTACTCCTAAAAACCTGTGCAAGAAATTGCTGCAAGCAATATAAGGATCAAATACAAGAAGGGCAGCAAAGTGAGGGGAGAGATCTGAGAGACTTCTCCCAGTTTAGAAAACCTTTGCAATAAAAGGTCAGTGGTTCCTCTGAAGTCCTCATGGCTCAGTGAGTAAAGAAACATCTGAAGTTCATCACTACAGAAACTGATTCTTCATGAATAAAAGCTTTCAGAGCTTTCTCTTGTTTCTCATACTACTGAAAAATCCAATGTGCAGTGAATCCCATCATCTGAATGGCCAATGGACAATGATTAAGTTAAGTAATTCATAATCCTTCATTATTTACAGAAGTGCACTGATTTTTGTTCACCACATGCTGTTTTAACACAAACCTCTTAAACAGAAGTCAGTTTGGAGGGCTCAGTTACACAAAAATTTATTTACCAAGACCAATTAAGTGTTGCCCAATTTAGCTTTTAGAATAGCCAGAAAGAATCGTGAGACTTAACAATATTCAGTGCAGATAAAACTCACCTAAAAGTGCCAATAAGCAATACAAAATTCCAAGCTGCTTCCAACACTCACCTTCCTTCAATGAGCCAGGTGCATTTTGTCTTGTATTTGTAATTTCCAGGCCCATCTGTGACATACCCTGAAGGTTCAGTGAGTCTGCAAAGAAAAACACAAAGACAAACATTATTGTCCAGTGGTTTTAAACATTCAGAAAGGATTCTCTAAATTCTGAAGATCCATCATTAGATTATTATTTACTTAAGAGCCACTATAAACAAACCAACTATGGCACGACAAAAGCCAGCTGGGAGTCTCCTGTTGAATTCTCTGTGCAGGCCTTCTGATGACTGTTCCTCAAGAATGACATCACTTCAAGAGTGATGGTTTCTCTATCATATTGATGCCACGGTTCCTAACTTGTATGTATGGATATACCACTCAACCAGCACAAGGAATTCCCCAACAGAAGCTAAAATTATTCCTAAACTATTTATTTACACAAACTGTACCATTGCATGTGGTTCATATGAAGGCCATGGTGCAACCTCTCACTCATTCTGTATTTGAATCTCCACAAACTCCTTGACAAGCTCCTGGACGGAGGGCTGGACTGACCCCCAAGCCCCTGGATCCCAGGCTGGACTGGGCTTGGAGCCCCCTGAGATAGTGGAAGGTGTCCTTGCCCATGGATGGTGTGGAATGAGAAGGGTTTTAAGGTGCCTTCCACCCCAACCATTCTGTGATTCTGTATTGTTATCAACATCTGCAAATGCTGCACAGTGCAAATTCTACTCCAGCAAAAAAAAACATTGGGATATGCATTCCTGTCTCATATGAATTTGTGAAAATATTCCAGATGAGTATTGCAGAAACTGCTGAAAATAAATGACAGGGAAGGATGGCAGCAGAAGGCAGCAGCACCTGAAGGTGCCCAAACACCACGTTCTGGTAGAGCACACACTGGCACCCAGACCAGGATTCCTTCCTAGGCCAGTTATAAACTCCATGGTCGGTACACTGCTGGAGCAAATCACAGCCCTCTGGCAAAATTCAACTGTCCTACTTACAACACAGCTCTAAAACAAAAACACTCTAAATTTAAACTTGGCAAAAAGAGAGAAAAGCAAGACCAGAAATTCCTCAAACCAGTATCTTGGAACCTTTTCTGTGCCTTTCCCCAGTGATCTGTTAATGCTAACATCTCACTTTTTAACACTTTTAAAAATGTGGGCTGAGTCAAAGATTATTTTCCAAATTCTTTTCCATCAAGCATTTTTAAGGTTGATCTCTGATTCAAATTAAAAAGGCAAAACTCACAGGTTTTTGAAAACCACCTTCCTCTGTCTCCAAATGAATTTATTACAGTACTTTTCAACCTGAGAAATTGAGCTGAAGATTTTAAAAAGCCAATCACTGAAGTTCTGCAGAAAATGGACATTCAAGCAAGTGAAGAAAAAGCTGAGGTTTTTGGAAGCACAAAAAGCATCTGGGTCCTCTATGGAGACACAGATGTCAGTGTAAACCAAGATTAGATTAAAAAAAAAAATACACATACAGAAGGTACAGATTTAGGCTGGATAATGGGAAGGCATTGTTCCCTGGCAGGGTGGGCAGGCACAGGTGCCCAGAGCAGCTCTGGCTGCCCCTGGATCCCTGGCACTGTCCCAGGCCAGGTTGGACACTGGGGCTGGAGCAGCCTGGGACAGTGGGAGGTGTCCCTGCCACGGCAGGGGTGGCACTGGGTGGGGTTTATGGTCCCTTCCAACACAAACCATTCCACGATTCTGTGATTTATATTTCTTTTAAAATTTCAACATCTTAGAAAATTCAAACTACTTATCCACCAACCAGGAATTCACAAAACCAAATGAAACTTCCAAGTTGGAGGCAATAACATCTAGTCTTTTTGTCTAAAAAAATCATACTTCTGAATATAATATCCATGTAAAAGCCATGAATCAAACAGTATTAACACTGATAGAACTTTGCCTACATCCAAGAGCAGAGATTCTGAAAACCTGAGGAAGTCTCTCCAGCTATAAACAATCTCATGCCATGTGGCAAGCTCTCAGGGAACCTCTGCTCATAGAACTGCAACAATTTTATCTGGAAGCAATTACTAATTCATTCACCACAGATATGCTACCAAGAGTGATATAAAAAAAAAAATAAGATAATCTTGTTAGTACTGTAGCCCCAGGCATGTCGTATCTCAGGAGAGAAAAAAAGAGAGCATTTCAACACCCATGTAATTCAATGAACTTTCAGCAAAACACTGGACTTAGTTTTAAAAATATAAGTCAAACTTCTTTGATCCCCTATTATCTGTAAGTTTCTCAGACTGCTTACTAAACTTCCTGCCATTATGGACAAATGAGGGATATTAAAAATCTATAATCTATTATTAAAATCCATTAATAAAAATCGATTAAAATCTATAATCAATCAGAGTTGACATGTCTGAAAGGAAAATAAATAGCCTGCACTGCCAGGCTAGAGCAGGCAGTAGCATCCATGTTCTTCTATAAGCACTCTCCCAGACAGAAATAAATCTTCAACACAAAAGCAAACTGAAATTAGAATTTCATCTTTCCATTCAAGACAGAAAGATGAACTAATCTCCAGGCTGCAGTACAAAGCAAACAGGCCCTGTTCCCCATGCTCCGTGCTGCCTGTGCCACAGAGACACGGGGCTGGGGTTGGGATGGCTGGCACAGGTCCCACATGTCCCACAGGCCTCTGGCTCGGTCTGCGAGCAGAGCCTTGGGAAGGGAGCACGGGAGAAACTCCAGAAGGAAGAACACCGCAGGAATGAGGGACTTGGATGTGGGAAGCTCCCCTGACACGCATCAGGCTGCTCTCATAGAAGGCTCCAATCCCACGTAACCTGTGTCACCATCACAACCAGGCTCCAAGGCCTCTGGGCCCAGAAAGCTTCGGCCATGTTTGTGATGTGGGGTGAGGGTTAGGCCCTGCCACTGGCTCACAGCAAGCCCTGCAGCTCCAGGCTGGGCCAGAGGGCTGGGAAAGGCCCTGGGGCTGCTGTGACAGCGGCTGGGCACGAGCCCAGCTGGGCAAGAGGCCACTGAGGGCCCCTGGGCTGTGCCAGCTCTGCAGCGGCAGCACGGCCAGGGCAGTGCCACAGTGTCACTGTACTGGCACTGCCAGGGCACCTCCAGTGCTGGGGCAGCACTGGAGGGGCTGGAGCGTGGCCAGGGCAGGAACAGAGCTGGGAAGGGGCTGCAGAATCCCTGAGGGAGCTGGGCAGGGGCTCAGCCTGGAGCAAAGGAGGCTCAGGGGGCCCTTGTGGCTCTGCACAGCTCCTGCCAGGAGGGCACAGCCGGGGGGGTCGGGCTCTGCTCCAGGGAACAGGGACAGGAGCAGAGGGAACGGCCTCAGAGGAGGGTCTGGGTGGACAGTGGGGAAACTGCTCATGGAAAGGGCTGCCCAGCCCTGGCACAGCTGCCCAGGGCAGGGGTGCAGTCCCCATCTCTGGGGGGATTTCACAGCCCTGTGGATGTGGCACCCGGGGACATGGGGCAGTGGTGGCCTTGGCTGTGCTGGGGAACAACTGGCCTTAGAGGGCTTTTCCTACCCCAACAATCCTGGGATTCTAATGTAATTTTATGACTCAGATGCAGAAATCAGACACCAGAAAATATGGAAAACAATCAAACACCACTTGTCTTTGATAACTTGGCGAAAGGTCTGGCTGCCACACAGGAAGTGCTTCCCTGTAGCTGAACATTACATCTCCTGCTCTGCAAGGAGCAGCTGCTACACCCTAGGAAAACAGTCAGGTCCTGTACTACAATACTTACAAGGCTCTAAACTACAACATCAACTTTAAAACCTCCAGGGTAGAAAAAACAACTGCAAAGATGCAAGGATCTATTCACAAAACTCAGATTAAAACCATACATAACTGTACTGCATAAATACATATGTGTACATTCATATACACACAACGCTTAAGGCTTGTTTCAAACTTCACTGTTCACAACAGTGTTGTGTACACTAAATTTTTCACTAATTTCCAAGCAGACTGCCATATACATGAACCAAAGTGAAAGAAGAGAGTAAGGGAGAAGAACCTTCAGCACACACATATTCCAAGAGCTCCAGCCTTAAGTGCTGCCTATTTGAGCTTTTTTTAAGGAAAAGGCAAAAGGGAAGCAACGACAAGGATGAAGATTTAACAAGAAAGAACTTCAAAAAGAAAGACTTCATGCAAAAGTGTTCTGCACATTTAATTGCTCCCCACTCATTCTGGGAGCCCCTGAAAAGCAGAAAACCAACACAAGAAAATCAGGCAGCAATCAATGGTATCTCCTGGGTAAACAGCCAGATCTGATATTGGAAATCACCAGAAAAATTCGAAGGTTCTTTAATATTAACGTAATAGTAGGAGCATATATTTTTCAAATACAAATTAGTATGCACTGAAAAAAATCCTCTGTGGGCAGGAACTGTGCAACACAGCAAAGCCTCAAAGCTGTTGACTAATTACAATCTAATAAATCTAAAGCAAGCCTGTTGCTAGTGAGTATGAAAGTATGATTACTTCAAAGCATTGTGACATTACAGGTACATTATATGCTGGCAAGAGGGTTTTGAATATATTTATTTTCATCAGAAGTATTAATAAAGAAAAAATGCAGTTTGGCCTTTCTTTCATTACTCTCCAGAAAAGGTAAGCAGGCTGGTTTGGTCTATAAAGCACATTAAAATTTAACCTCCAAGTGTCATCACTGGATCTCAAAATGGGTTTGTATTACTTTCAGTTAGACTGTAGTGACACTGACAGTGAAGACTCATCAGCATCTTGTGTCTGGAGAAGCTTCACAGCCTTTTCACGAATAAAAACCCCAACCAAATAATTAAAAACCAAACAAAAAACCAAACCAACCAAACAGAACCAGCAAAATCTAAATAACCAACCAAAACCACCAAACAAATCCAAAAGCCTCTTGTCCATCCTAATAGTTGTTAAATCTAGAGAGAGATGCAAGCAATGAATTTTCCTCCTTTCTTCCTCCTCCTTCCCAAGTGCTCAAGCATTTCACAATTAGAAGTCACTGGTTTGGGTCTATTTGGAATTGAAGGCACAAAGAAAGGGCTGTTACAGCCTCTTACAGGAACAAACACTTTCTATCCTAAATTGATTAATAATATGACTTTGTCCATGTTCTCAGCAAAAGCACTGAGGTTAAAGGACATTTATTATAAGCAAATGCTTTAATTTATAGGCATGGAATAGTGATCAGGCACAGTAGGGATGAGAGAAGCAGATAAGCAATCCACACAACTATTTCATTCATTTCTAATGAAGAACAACTAAATCCCTTCTTCTGCCACCTGGGTTCCACACCACAGGTAAAGCTAGGAAGATGTAATTAATTACAGGCCAGGTCTCACAGATGAAGGTAATGACATTACTGCAAAATCCACTTTGATAAGGATTTTCCCTACGCAGCAACAGGTACCTCACACAAAGACAATCAACTACTCCAGGTGCTCAGAGAATTCTCTCCTCCTCTCTCTTCCACATACACAGTCTCCTGAGATTACAGTCCTAAAGATGAGCAAACTCATGTGAAGGTCACTGCTGTAGCATAATCATGGAAAACCAAATGTTTTAGGTTGGGACAGACCTTAAAGTTCATCTCGTTCCACCCCTCTTCCAC